AGAGCTATATATATTTGTTCATTTATCATTTAGTATCCATTGATTTTATTAAAGAATTTCAACAAAAACTTGACGCGGCGTCTGATCTGATTGAAAGAAATCATCGTGTGATACAAGAAAATATCCATGCTTTAAATGACAGGCTACAAAATATTGAAACAAAGCAGCTGTCTGACAAGAAAAAATCTAAACAGTATAGGAGGTTGGTGGTTGAAACAGAGAGAAACTTGAAAACTCTGACTGATAAGATTGATGAACAAAATGGGTTGACAAAGCAAATTACTGAACAGATAAAGGACATGAGGAGCTGTGTAAATAAAGCAAGGGACTCTGCAAATGACAATAAAAAGAAAATAGACATACTGGAAAATAAAGTTAACAGCGTCATCATCAAATCAAATAATTTTGAAGTGTCAAACGAACAACTGTCTGAAAAGCAAATTCAACTAGGTTTACATGTTGAGACTATTGATCAAAAACATACTAATGTTGATTTAAAGGTAACGCATCTGTTGGCTTTCAATGTATTCTCTCATACTACATAAAAAAGTTATTTTTTTTTCTATATCATCTAACAATTTAAAATGTTATTTTCGTATTTTTTTTTTACTGCTAACTGTATGTACTACATTTATCTTTAACAGTGTGGAACTATGTGCCAAATGCTTGCCAAGAGATTTAAAAGCTTAGAGTATGTAAATGATGTTTTATCGAAACTCTCCTTATCCAAGGGTGAAACTTTCCTTCAGGTAAATTTTAAAAATACTGAACTTTTTGTTTTATTTAATAACGAGCCAACCCGCGGCATATCATACGCCGCTATTTAGTTGTTTTATTTTCTACTTTTGAGTAATTCATAATTTGTGAATTCGACAGTACCAATGCTGCCACTGAAAATATTTGCTTTAAAACACTATCAGTAGGTCGTTAAGGACGATACTACCCCCACCCTCTTTTCCTCCAACCCCTATCCTACACCCCCCCCCCCCCTCGTGAAAGCAGCCTCCTCTTAGTTACCTCACCATAGTTTAAAATCGTTTCAAACTAAATTATCTGCCCCTGATAGCCGTCACTAAACCCGGCTCTACGATTAATGTAAACATTTAGGGTGAACACAGCTCACCGGACCATGTAGGGGTGGGGAGGAAGGGAGCGCGCTTACTGCTTGTTTTCTAACGTCTCCCAGAAGAGAATTATATAGATAGATAGATAGTTAAAGTGTTTATCCCCCTTGTTAGGTAAGGTTTGATGAGTGTGCATGAATATTTAGAGGTTTTTATTGTTTTTTTTTAATTGTGTGCATTTGTTTGTTTTAGATAAATGAGAGATTACACGAATTAGGTAAGTACGTTTTGACGCATTCATATTAGCATTAGCCTACTTATAGTTTGTATTTGTTCTCCAAGTTGATGCTTAATTTATAAATATTCTATAAGTAATTTTATCCTTTTGTAATAATTATTACAAGCTTTAATATTGTAAACTGTGGAGGTAAGGCATGTTCTTAACTCAGAGCTTTCTTCTCTGCACTAAATAGAGTATTCCCCATGTCTGAGTAGAAAATATATCGCAGAAATGATATAAGAATTATTGTGATTAAAAAAATAATGATGTTTTTATTCATTTTTAATTAGAGCGATCGTACGGAATCACTCGTGTAGGATTTAGCGCAATGATTTGGAGTGGCTTGAAAGTCAGAACCGGAGATGTGATTAGTGATTTCTCCGACGTTTACTTCAATCATGGCGGACATTTTGATCCCACCAGTGGCGAGTTTACCGTACCGTCAGATGGGATTTATTGTATTAGTTTAAGTGTTTACAAACAAGTCGTTGGTGACGTAAAAATCGAATTAGTTCTTGTAGCAAACGTAGATGACGAAGAACATGAAGAAACAGACATCACAATAATATTTGATGTTGACACATCTAGTGGAAGAAACTATTATATATCTTATGACGTACTAGAAACAGGAAACATATTATTTTTAAAAGTTACAGCAGCTGATGAGGATTTCGAGTTTGGAAAATACTCCGTTATCACATGCTATAAAATCTAAAGAAAAAAAAATGAATTACTTGTTTCTTCACTCAAAACGTCTCAACAGTTTCTTGGATTAAAAGTGTTTACTTGTATTGTGATTAAATGTATACCTTAAAACTAATTTTAATTTTTAAAAAAAAAGAAACTTTGTAGGAGGACTCTGCTATGGATATGATTGTTTAGAAATGAAGATCGTTTTATGTGTCTCAATTTACTCTACATAACAGCCAAGCTGCTTATGATATTTTTATATTATTTTCCTATAATCCAAAATTTATTTTAGCTCTAGTTATATACCCCTCAACCCACACCTCTAAAAAAAGTGCTCTTCAATTTTTATTTCTCTTTTCTACAATACATCGAATCACTGTTTAATTAAAAAATTTCAGTGTTTGAAATTATACATTTTGTATAGGGCAGTATATGTGAGCCATCTTCAGTAAATGAAAGTACATGTCAGAAAGAAGCAATATTATTTCTATTGTAAATCTTTATCAGTCCTCACAAAGCGGTGAATATGATGAAGACTGTAATAATGTATAGTTCATACTAAAGCGAAAATGTCAAGACAAACTGACGCTGTAAATTACACTCTAAGGGAGAGAAAAAATTACTCTATGTATCACGAAAAGGGAAATCCTATAATAAAAACAATAAACATTTCTAGCACTGTATCACGGGAGTTGCTTTATTCTGTTTATTGTGTTGTGTCCGGATGGTACATATCTTCATCTCAACTAAACCGTGCAAACATGATTTGACAGTTTTATAGCAGTCATAAAATCTAACTTTAAAATAATCATATTGGCCATAGATAGTCCCTTAGTCCGCCCAGCTCTGATGGATACCTAACTCATCTTAGGGAAAGTAAAGGCGGCTGGGCAAATTGCTCACCACACCTTTCCTTCATATGCTGAGGTCAAGAAACATGAACTCTACTTCATGTGCCCAATGATGAGTATAGGAAGTGTAATGGTCTAAATCAATATAATATAACCTTATGCAAGGTATGAGTTGGTCAAAATGTCATATCATTTTAATTTGCCAGGATTTTTTTTTCCAATGAATTCATGTATAAATTAATTATTTATAGGCCTAGTTAAAGTAATTATATCAAACTAGTTTAATTTTTTTCGACCTAATTTTTTTAATGGAAAAATATTTTAAAAGTAAAGTGTCAAATAAATAAAGATCAATGTTTGCTAACACATCAAATTTATATTTATATTCTACATCTAGATATAATTCTTGAGATCTGGAAGTAGATTTAGACACCAACTGCGGTGCCCTGTCAAAACGGCCCGGAACAAACAACCCCGTCAAAGCGGCCCTGTTATTATGACCCCGTCAAATCGACCTCCGACAAAACGACCCAGTCGAAATAGCCCCATCAAAAGGGCCCCGACTTATTGATTCCCGTCAAATCAGCTCCCGTCACTTTGACTCGCGACATTTAGGCTACCAGCAAATGGACTTCCAACATATTGGCTCCCGACAAACAGGCTCAGGGGGTCGTCCATAAATTACGTCACACTCGTAGGGGGGAGGGGGAGGGTCCGTAATTTTGTGACGGTGTGTGATGAGGGGGAAGGGGGGGGGGTCAGATGGTGCGACGTCACACTTTTGCATTATAAAAAAGCAATGTTAGAAAACGAATTTTAGACGTTATTTCGCTTTTTAGAAAATTGTTTTGATAAATTGTAATAGGAAGTGATAAAATACTCTATTTTGATAGTTCAGACAAGATTTTGGAAAAATATCGATGTTTAAAAAAACATCCAACTGCAATTCTTAAGACTTCCATAAGAAAATTTTTAGACAGACATCACACTCATATTTCTTATTACTTGAATGAAATTTCTTATAAGTTAAGTAATATATTTGAAGAAACTTTTAATGACAAATATCACATTTATGACAAATATCACATTTATGACAAATATCACATTCATATGTTTTTCTCCACCGTCTTCAGTCTTTTCCCTCCTGATAAATTTCCTGGGATTCCTAAGAGCACGGTTGTTGTGACACACATCATAGAGAGACACATCTTGCCTATCTTCAGTGTGAATATTCAAATGCTGTGTAATGTGATCTAAAATAAAAGTCTGATCCCATCCCTCAAAGCTAAAAGTATAGTCGCACTACAACTGATAACTGCTAATCACCCATTTCTTTATCAATTATTTACAGATGTGTTTTTAGGGGACGAAGCAAAGCATGTTTTAAATTGAAAAAATATTAATCGATTTGTTTCCCTTCAAGCAAAAAGAAAAGCAGTTGTAATTACTTGATTACTTTTTCTAGCTAGCTCGATACATCATTAATTAAAGCTGAATTATTTAGCGTTTGCCCATTTTAATCTCATATAATCTTCCCAAAAATTATATATATACACACATATGTATATATATATATATATATATATATATATATATATATATATATATATATATATATAAGATTTATATATAGTCTTTCACACACACACACAATGACACTCTCTCAAACACACTCACACATAAAGGCCTATACGTCAGTGGATTTAAACTAGATCAGATAATAAGTTATCAGATTAAGGCTTCCCAATTTAAAAGCAGATAAAATAATGACATCATTGCTTGTGTTAGCCTACTATCTCCTCTGTTCATCATTTGTTTGTATGTAGTTGTTTTAAAACTGAAGATGGCACTAAAGAGCCATTCCAAGAAACATTTAACCAAATTGTTGGAGCATCTAGAGGAGTCACATAGTCAGCTGCAACAGCTTTTGTGTGATTTTGTCACACAGGTAAGTAGACCAATGTAACAGCTTTTGGGTCATTTTGTCACACAGGTAAGTAGACCAATATAACAGCTTTTGGGTGATTTTGTTACACAGGTAAGTAGACCAATATAAGTTTTTTTTTACAGATTCTGTGAGTAGACCTATACAGTATCTTTTAAAATATAACCTATTACATTTCGACTGCAATATCTGGCAGGTTATATTGTATTTAGTAAACCTTTACGTCAGTACCCTTACAGTTTTAAACTAAAATGTAACTAAAATGGGTCTAATGATAATGTTTTACCGAAAGCCAAATAGTGCTTCTTTCAGGTATCTCTCTTATGTCGAAGGGGGCAGTGACTACGAAGAAAGTGCACCGCCTACTCACCCCTCCGCCGGAAGAAATAATAATAATGTATACCGAGAGTGTTTATTTTTGCAAGTTTCAGTACCACCACACCCCCGGGCACCGGCCATAGTGGGCGCCAAAATGGGTTGTAAAAACAAATTGAAAGTTTGAGGGATGTTGTGCAAATCAAAAGTTTGAGGGGGGGGTGCAAATAAAAAGTTTGTCTCCCGGGCGCCGGGAAGGGTCGCTACGCCTCTGCCCCCCCCCCCTCTCCCGTTCATTTTGAAGTGTCCACTCTCCGGAAGAATAATGAATAATAAAAACCCTGAAAGTAAACTATGAAATTATAATACCCAGAGTATTCTCCAAGTGTTTGTGTATTAATAACGTCAAACACGTTATTATAACGATGAAAGGATGTCGATGGTTAATATTTGTTACAGTACGCTGTTGCAAAGCAAACAAGTAGATTTAAACTGAATTTGAACAGTTTAAAAAAATTGTGATAATCTATTATAAGCCTGTATCCAGCATAACAAGACAGGCCCTCACCTGGAATCCACGGGGCAGGAGGAGGAGAGGCAGACCAAGAAAGACCTGGAGACATGACCTTGAAGAAGACACAAACAATATTGGATACACCAGGGGATAGTTTGAGAGACTAGCCCTGGACAGAGACGTCTGGACAGCTCTTGTTAGCCGTCTATGTCTCAGGAGAGGCGACAGGCTAACCTATCCTAACCTAAACTATTAAACTTAATTTTTTAATCTAATTTAGGTTCGGATTTGCTGAGATTTTCAATATAAAATATTTATTCGCTATATTTTCCGCATAAGATCCTAGCTGCTAAAAATATATCAGATGTTGTATTTCGTTAGGTACTGGTTATATCCCGTTTAAAATGAAACAATTTTTTTTTAAGTTTTGAGAAAAAATGGCTATTTTGTATTTAAAAAAAAATAAAAAAAAATAAAAAAAGATGAATAGCTACTGAAATTTGAAAGCATGGTAATAATTGGAGAGGGATGGGTGGGGTTACTTTTAAACTGAGTATGTTGATGAATGAATTTAGCACTAGGGACATTAGTTAATTTGGCACTTACATTATTATAAGTAATTATTGATTTTGGTGATCTTTACAATGTAACAGTCATCCGGGATTCCTATCGAAAACGCTCTGATATAACTTTCATGTGCATTCTAATTTCTCTAGAAATACCAAGTTGTTTTTAGGTATTTCAGTGTTTGGTTGATGCTTTTACTCCATCCCCGCGTTGAATTTTGTATACAGATTCTAGAAATAGTGTAGACCTACAGTATTACACATTTTACCTTGAGTTATTTATAATGTTTTGAAACCAAGAGTATAATATAACATTATACTAAACAGTAATTGTCTTTTAGTGAAAGTAATTATAGTAGTCTTTTGCGGCGAAATGATTAATATAAATTGTATACAGATCTACTATTAGTTTACACAACCAACCTAGCCATCAGTGTTTCTTCGAGACTTTTCTCCGTGGGGTGGGGGGGACGGGTGGGTGGACTAAAATTTCCGGGGTACGGGCACTGGTAAAGTATCATTTTGTTCGGGGGGGGGGGTCGGGGGAGCTCAGCTCTCTTCCCCCCCCCCCCCTCGCCGAAGTAATGCCTGGAAGAAACTCTGCTAGTTATATGTAATAGTTCTGAGAAATTTTTTTTATGTAATTGCTATTTCCCTACCTCGATATATCATTTTAGCCATTGTATTGCTTAGCATATAATGTTTCATCGTTTTTTTAAATAAATGTGTATGACAATATGTTAATATTCACAATTAAATAAAAATATTTTTTTTTATGCCAAAGATTTTGACAAATACAAAAAATTGGATGGCTAACCCTGATAATAATATGACCTTCAAGGAAGCTGTTGCAAAGGTAACAGCAGCCAACACCACATTGCTTGAGTATATAGAGAGGATACCTGGTATGTTTACCTGTTAAATCTTCTTCTGTGTGTTACATTAAAAGACGCATTAAAATTTTCAATAGCAAAATTAAACTTAAAGGGCAAAAAATGTATTTTATATCAGAAACTTCGCGAGGCGGGAGCAAGGGGTGCGGACCGCACCGGTTGACACCTTTTGGGGGGGGGGGGTGACACCAAGACAAAAAAACTGCAAGATATATTGTCAGTTTAATGAATGGTTAATTAGAGTCAAAAAGTTTTTTGAGTACATATGTTGATCCTTACAGGGATGGGGGGAGGGGGGGAGGGGACACCATGACGTAAACATACACACTATAGAGAAAACAATGCTACACCCAGCTTTATTAACAACCGACAATAGATAACCATTATAAGAATAACATGTGAACACTTTAACGCTATTTACAGAGAAAAAAAGGGGTAGGGGTGACACCATGAGGTTTCGCATTGGGTGACATCCGACCTAGCGAGACCACTTTTTTCTATCATTTAACACAATGACAATCTATATATGTTGTCTTTTGATTAAGTACACTCATTGGCAGAACTACAAAAAAATGCCCCAGAACAAAAAATAATTTCGGGACTCTCTCTCTCTCTGTCTCTCGCTCTGTCTCTCTCTCTCTGTATATATATATATATATATTTAATATATATATATATATATATATATATATATATATATATATATATACTAGTAGACTGTCTCACTAAATTGTAAGTCAATTATCGAAACCATTTGCTAATTAAGTAATGTAGCCCATTTCATGGTAAAGTATATCCATCATGAGACAACAAATTGCAAGAAAGCGATTTGTCGCCCTGGGTTCTCTAAATAAGTACTATTACGCTTACGTTCGTTTCAAAGAGTACGATACACAACGGATACGTTGTGCTACTGTAAACGTTCATTATATTCACATGGTTCAGCATTGAGTAACACAGATGAAGTTCCGTACAATACAATAATAGAAACTTAATACAGTTTGTGCTCCGTCTGTGTTGTTTACTTTGTAAAATTTACCCTCTTTTAATAACAGTTTATAAAAAATAAACCGGGAGTGATCTCCCCTAAACTTTCTCGTATATTCTTATAATACTTATATAACTTGGAATATAGACATAATTTTTAATTACTTAAACTTTTAAAAATAGAATAGAATCTCATAGAAAAAAGAATTGCACACCAAGCGAACGCCAAAACAAAATGTGCATAATAGTGCGCAATATTATTAGTACTTTATAAAATTACATGCGTTTTTTGAGAAATCGGAAGTAGCGTAAATTAGTACTTCTGGACAACGGAAATTACTCAAAATTTGACAGAAGGGAGAGAATTAGATCTTTTACTTACATGTGAAATTTCATTTATCTATCTGAAATAGTACTCAAGTTATAGGCTTTTGAAATATTCAAAGTAAAAAAGTACCACTTCCGGTTATCAGAAATCGCTCAAAAGTTGATACTGATCTACGATTTTGATAAAATACTTATATACGAAATTTCATCAACCTAGCTCTAACGGTACTCAAGTTATCGTGTTTACACACAGACAGACACACAGACAGACACACAGACATACGGACAAGATTGCAAAATTAAGTTTTTCCGTATCGGTGAGGTGTAAACCGTTGAGATTTGTAAAAATCTCGATTTTTTATTTTTTCACGATTACAAGACTTTCTCTATACTTTGTATATACAAGAAAGTAAAAACATTTTGAAATCATACATACTTAGATGATCCCAGATTGAGTCCAGAGTTAAAGCTATCAGAAAGTGAGAATGTACCACCACCAAGCTGCCCCCATGACTCTTGTGCCGCCGTATCAGGTATCTTTTAAAAAACAAGTTAATAAAAAGTCTAGTGACAATATAAGCGCAATTTCTTTGTTATCCATAACAATTTTAAATCGAGATAAATCATATATTCAGCAAATTTTTTGTGACCGAACGAAAGGATATTTTTGAAAACTTTCTTCGGCAATATTGTTCTAAATTATGGCAGGAATCGATTGGTAAATGTTTCAAGTCGCTAAGTGGTCTGGTTGCCGAGATATGGGCCAAAAACTGCATTTTTTCGAGGTTTTTTTTTTGCTTTTCCGGGAAATCCAGGAAGGAAACACGGGAATGTTTTGGGCCCACAATCATCCTCGGAACTTGCTTAACATATTTGCTTTGGAACTAGTCCTCGATATTGCTTCGTTGAGGAGGAGATACGACTTAAAGCTGCGGACACACATCCATCCATCCATTCATCCATCCAGAAATAACAAATCGCAATTGTCAGTATGAAAATTGTGCTAAAAAAACAATGAGGCGCTTGAATTAATTAAAAATATTTATATAAAATATATGCAATAATTATTTGATTTAGGTGAAGAAAGATGCTAAATTGAATTAGTTTTGAATAAACTATTATTTGTTTATTGCCTGCTAAATGTTTTATTTTTTATCTTTATCTATATTAATGTTTATTAAACAGTTTATTTAAACAAACCATAAGTTCCTTTGCTGAATGCTTGAAAATAAACAAACCATTTTTCAAATTTTGATTTATGATTAAAAAAAGGATTGTATAGGTTAAATAATATGACAAGCATTTGATTGACAGGCGATATTTTAGCTAATGTCTTGATGAAGTTGGAGATGGTTGAAACAACCCTTTCCAGCCTTCGAAACACGCAGAGAATAGAAGCAATAGAACAAACGATGAGCACACAACAGGAAAATGTATCCACTTGGCAATGTGATATTGAAGAATGGTTAAAAACCCTGTCCAAAACACAAACACAGCATTTTCAAATGCTTCAGACTCAGCTGAATGAGCGAGATAGGAACAGTAATAAAGTAAACAAAGATATTGTGTCTTTAAAGGAAAATCAAATAAATGTAAACAATGAGATAGAAAAGCTGTCATTAAAAGTGCAGGAAAACGAAAACAAGTTTCAGAAAATGTGTGAGGATTTGCAAATTCAATCCGACAGTAATAACAATATGAAACTAGAGATCAAGAGACATTCTGATGTAATATTTAACATGGGAATAAATGCAAAGGCTAATTCACTTCTAAGGAGCAATATTCAGAACTTATCCTCAAAGGTATTTAAAGCTCGCGTTTATGATGTCTTACACCATTCTTTTATATGTCCATTATGATTTACTATACTTACATATTAGTTTAGTGTTATGATTACTAATTTCGTAATTCTGTTACTGCAGTAAGTTAGAACTTCAAGATAAAACTAGCGCAATATTTCATTCTAATTATTGGTTTATTTTGGTAGTAAACCAGCATTTTTTATTTTATCTAATCAAATTTATCCTATTTCTTTCAGTACAGTATGATATGCAATATCGTACAACAAAGGTTGATGCCTATTGACCAGTTGATGCAAATGTTGAATCAGATTTCCACAACAAGCAGACAGAAATGGACAAAGGTGTGGTAGTAATTTTATCATATCAGAACAAGGTTTTATTTAATGATACAACTTTTTATGGAAAAATGATTGATTGGTTGATTCAAACAAGCATTCACATACACACAGACACACATTGCCAACCCCAACCCCCCCCCCCCCCCCCCCGGAATTTACTACCGGAATTGCTAATACATTTTAAATCGTTAACAATCATCATGCTAAACTACAAGATTTAGTCTATCTTAAAAAATAACATAGACTACGTTAAATTGTGATTTAAAAAATAAGCGAACATTATTATTTATTCGAATCCATAACATGCTGCCTTAAACATAATTACAACATTATTAGAATACGGATAGCCTAGACCTAGGGGTACTTAATTTGATTTTAATATTAGTAAAACATAATTATAATTTTTGCTTTTGCGGGTACACATGGTATTTTAAAATCTTTAAACGAGGCCTAGAAAATGAAAGACACCACTTTTTTTTGTTATCAATGGGAATCATGCTCAAAACAATTAATTTAGTTTGAAAAGGTATATCCCTCACTAAAGAGATTTTGAATTTTACAAGCCCTATTACACAATAAAATATGGACATGGACATAGCTATATTTAAAATGAAAACTATTTTATCCCATTTCCCTACCCTCTGCTAATCTTGGTTATAACACAAAGTATTAGAGAAATTATATATATTTATATAGCCTATATATATAGGCTATATGTATATATACCCTATATAAAAATTATATATATATATATATATATATATATATATATATATATATATATATATATATATATATATATAATCTGTTTTAGGTTGAATCTATTGAAAAAGATATTGTTAATATGTCAATGGAAATAAGAAGCATTGGTAAGTAAAATATTTTATTTTGACTAAGTTGTGGTCTTTATGGCTGGATATTAATTAAATTTAAAAAACATCACAAATACACACATATTCAAAACAAATTTTACTTATATGAGGATTTTATATCATATATATAATTTCTTGTGTATATTAATTAAATTTATTATAACAGAACATTTGAAAACAGGAAATTAATAATTTATATTTAGATTATATTGTATTGTAAGTCCCTTGACTTGTTTGTTTGTGTACGTTATTTTCACCTAACATACATTTATCTGCGTATAAATAAAAGTAGTTGAGCTGATGTGGTCAACAACATATTTAAAATGCTATTAAATAAAGAAAACATTAGTATCAACTTGAAAATTCAACAAAAACTATAAGGCTTAATTAATTTTAAAGAATAATTCATTGGTTTGTTTAAGAAAAATACTAATCAAACTATTTTTTGTATTAATATTTCTTGTCTTAAGCAAGAAAACACACTAGTTTAGATTCAAATATATATTTATTACATTTTGTAGAAAATAATCTATTATGAGCATTCTTTTTTTTTCTTTATTCTTATTAAGGTGTCTTGTCTTCAGCATTGGGTTTCATCGCACTTGGTTCAGAAACAGATAAGTCAACTTCATTGTTGCAGTTCCACGTTGTGTGGTCTAACATTGGAAAACATTTTAATCCAAAAACAGGGAGATTTACCGCTCCATGCGATGGTATTTACATAGCACATCTCGCGGTCAGACAGGCTAGTGACAAGTCTATCAAAATGTTACTGGAGTGCCAACACAAACAAGGAACTGAAAACATTGGAAATGTAAATGCCACACCGGAACACAAACAGGCCTCTTGTTCGCCTGTGTTTGCCATGGAGCGTGGGGATGTGTTGTGTTTTTTATCTTTAGAATCTGAAGAGTACATTGGAGAGTGTAAATTCTCATGCTTTCTCCTTAAAATTAATTAATTTTAAAATTAAATGATTGATATCTTCATATCTTCTGCTGTCAATTGTGTTTTTTGACGTTATTTTGTTATTAGGTAACCTACAAAATAAAACGTGGCAATAGATTTGAAAGTTACCCTGGTTTTTTTCTTCTCAATTTGGTGTGTATGGACTCCTGTGAGTTAACCTAGCTCAAATAGGTACCAAACATAATAAGCTGATCTTTATAAGCTCTTGAATTTTTAAATGTAATAAAACATGGATTTGTAAGTTTGTAACTCATTAACTCATCAGCTTGTGTGATATAAACAATATTTGTATTTACAAAACAGATAAATCTGTATGTTAATTTCAAAGTGACTTGTATGGTAATAAATTAATTTGTATATCGTTAAATAGTTTGTGTTGACTTATTATTTACTTTGGGGATAAAAATGCTTTTTTATTTAAAGTGTAGACCTATAGGCATACATATTTACAATCTAAATGCACATTGTGTTTTAACCAATGCTTTAAGTGTATAAGTGTCTAGTTAAAGAACATTTTAAAAACAGGCAAAGTTAATGTTGATTTGTAATTATTAGGACATCTACAATAAGAGTGTAATTTGTTTTCAAATGTGCGTATAGACACACTGCTAAACTGGTGTATCCATGTTGGCAACATAACATTCTTTACATTACATAAATACATATTTCTGCATCCAGGACTTAGGTTCACATTATCCTCAGGTTCACTTCCTCAGGTTCACATTATCCTCAGGTTCACATCATCAAGTTCACATCCTAAGGTTCACATTATCCTTAGATTCACATTATCCTCAGGTTCACATTATCCTCAGGTTCACATTATCCTTAGTTTCATTTATCCTCAGGTTCACATTACCCTTGGGTTCACATTATCCTTAGATTCACATTATCCTCAGGTTCACATTATCCTCAGGTTCACATTATCCTCAGGTTCACATTATCCTCAGGTTCACATTATCCTCAGGTTCACATTATCCTTAGTTTCATTTATCCTCAGGTTCACATTATCCTTGGGTTCACATTATCCTTAGATTCACATTATCCTCAGGTTCACATTATCCTCAGGTTCACATTACCCTTAGGTTTACATTATCCTCAGGTTCACTTTATCCTCAGGTTCACATTATCTTCAGGTTCACATTATCCTTAGGTTCACATTATCCTTAGGTTTACATTATCCTTAGGTTCACATTATCACCAGGTTCACATTATCCTCAGGTTCACATTACTCTCAGGTTCACATTATCCTTGGGTTCACATTATCCTCAGGTTCACATTATCCTTAGTTTCACATTATCACCAGGTTCATAGTTTCTCTCCGTTATGACACATACAGCATTCTCTTACAAAGTCATATATCATAATATGGGAAAGAGTTCAAACGTTATATTTTGAGTTCTTTATTGTGTAGGCCTATATCATCCCTTACGTTATTTTCAAAACAAGGCATTTAAAACTGTTATTTTAATTTTATTCGGTTAGTTGTTCCATGAAAATGATACTGTTACTGATTCTGATGTTGGAGATGGTGATGATGTTGGTATTGGTAATTATAATCATAATGATAATCATATGATAATGCCTAATATTGTAACAAAAAGAAATCTTAACAAGGAAGATGTTTGTATATGTCCAGGTTCTGTGTCTCAAATGTATATTGCGTGTCGTATAACACACTAAGCCTAGCTATGGTACCAGTGTTTCTTCCAGACTTTTTCTTTTTACTCCGGGGGGGGGGGGGCACTTGAAATTTCCGTGGGGGGGGGGGGAGGTACACAGTTAAAAGTATGTATTTTCTATATAAATTCAATTTGGTTTGGGGTGAGGGGGCGGTAGACTTTTTTCGGGGGGCAGATCTTCCCCTGAATAGATGCCTGGGAGCAGAGTTTCTTCCAGGCATCTCTTTGGGGGGAGGCCCACCCCCCCCCCCCCCCCCAAAAAAATTCAACTTCATACAGTACACCTCCTTGCCAAATGGTTGGTAAATGTCTAATAAATGAAATCCTGCGACTTTTATTTATTTTTCTGAACCCTTCACTCGTAAAATAAATTTATCATAAAGCTCATTATCAGCTTCTGTTTTAACTTTTTTTTTAAATCTGCGTATAGGTAACTTAACAAACATGCTATTTTTACAAGAACGCAGTCTGCCAACAACGCGTTAAAACAAGTGATCAGATTCAACCATATTCATTAACGTTCAATGACAGTTATATCCCTTTACCAGATATCGATGCTATAATTTCAAGCAAGGAATAATAACCGATTACCAAATGCCAATTTTATCACAATAAATTAAGTATATTCTTATGTTTTTTTTTATTATTTTTATGAAAGAAAGGATAATCAGGTGGAGCTATCTCAATAAAAAACATTATTTTAAAATTTACTAAACAAACCAACTGGGTTTATCGATGAATTTACGGAATCGGTCATGAAAGTCTGGCCAAAAGATCGAAACCTAACGAGTACTCAACCTGACAAGTTCCGGCGCTTCTAGATAATTTTAAACTTATAAATTAGAGTCTACTAGATCTAGATCTAGATCTATAAATTTCACAGCTGAAATCTTTAGCAAACAATCTATAATGTGGTGATTATTACTCGTATTAAATTTATAGCGAGTTAGATCTCTAGGTAATAATAAATGTAGACACGAATTAAACCAGGCGCGTAGTCAGTACTCATGCAGAGTTACTTACTTTCTAGTTTCTGGCATAAAGTTTCTGCTAGATCTAGAGATCTAGATCTAGAAATCTAGTACTAGATCTACTACTGATCTAGTCTAGTATAAGTATAATTCTATAAATTATAATCAAATCTAGATTTAGATCTAGATTTCTAGCTCAGAGTAGCTAATCTATATCTACAATCTATTCTAATTATTCTAGATTTAGAATATTTTAAATCAAGATCTAGACTTTAAAAAAAGTCTAGGTAATCTATCGTTTTAGGTACGTAAAATCGCCCGCAACTAGTAATGTGAAAAACAGGTGACTCCTTACATTTTAATAATTATTTCACATTTTGAGGAGGATTTATGTTTTGAAAAATACAAAAATGTTTCCTTGTTTCATTTATGTACCTGTTTCTAAACAATTGAATTAAAACTTTTCAGTAATAAATGAACACCAGCGATGTTTCCAACAGATGCAACCATGCTCATTTACTATAGCAGCCATCTTGTTAAAGTTTTATTTTTATAGACTTATAGCGCAAGATTCAGGCGGAAGTCACTCTATTTTACAAATGGCTGCTGTTTATATAGCAAATCTTGCTTGCAGACACTGCTGTTTAAAGTTAATTTCGGGCCTATATTGATATATTTAGCCATTGATTTAGGTTTATTATTCATTTATCTATAATATTTGACACAAACATATCACAATATACTTCTATTACAGCCTTGACAATGAGGTAACGTTTTCGTACATTAATAGCCTCTGGCGATTTTACGTACCCAAAACGATAGATTACCAAAGTCTAAAATCTAGATTAACATTCTAGATCAGACTAAAATCACTAGCTAGATAAAATTTAAAAAGTTTGAGATCCTATGAACTTTAGCCTACTATTTTTAATGTCATTTAATTTAATGTATTTATTTGTACTTCAATATGCTTTTCAAATTATCACAGCTGTTAAATTTTATTTAAAATTGAACTAGGCCTAGATCTAGATCTCCATTGTACAACAACAATAGTTTTTCTCAACTTTAATTTTTAATCAAGAAGTCACACATTTTTCTGGCATAGATAGCAACCCACTATCAATTATTGTTTAGTTTCCGTAAGCCTTAAATTTAAATTAATGAGATTTTATAAGACAAGCACGGATTTTTATTATCCCTGTAGGTACCTCATATAAACTAGAAAAAAGGTCATGCTATTACAGTTCTAGTTATAGCCATAGGTATCAAGGTGTTTGTCAATGTAATGTAATATATATATATAGATATATATGTATTAGTATTTAGATATATATGTATATAGATATATATGCGTATTCAATCCAGTTTAGAGAGTGTAAGTCGAGAATCTATACAAAGATATATTACTACATAATGTTCTTAAAATAAATTTTTGAGTAATTTAACTAACAGAAGTCCCATGTAAAATTAGGTATAAGCTATTGTAAAACTAGCACCTTACAATGGCATACAAACTTGAAACGTAGCTGTTTTAAGTGTTGTGAAATTTAACACCAATGGACATGAAAATCCAAGCCTGATATTTTTACTAGTCGCTGCAAAAGATGAGTTACTTACAGCATTTGAATAAAATGGAACAAGGAGGAATAGGAGAAATATTGCCCAGTGATAAGAAGCGTTGTTGTGAGATCAATTGTGCTATTTGGTTATGAGACCTCTGTACTAAAACGAGTGGTCCATTCCTGCACATCATAATGTGTTGTTAGATGGTGCTATCATTGTTTTAAATAGAGCCATGAGCAGCCGATTTTCTAAAAAATATTCTGCTTTTAAAATATCCTTTTATTCTTTCTAATATTCACTTTAAGCAAATGTAGTGTTATGGTAATATTTTAAAAGTAGACACACTTAAAATTTGTTCCGTTAAATTTTTAAAAATTGTAGTCACCGTTAAGCTGAACTAATATTTCATACTTAACTAATGTAATAAGCCATCATGTAGTATATTTATAATTTTATTTCTGCAGCTATGTCTGGGTTGACTAGAATAGATTAACATTCTGATATTTTCAGGTGTATTATTGCAACAGCTATTCCAGAGACATGGGTATTTAGCTACAGAGAATTGCTAGTATAAGCAATAACAGCTTAACAAATATGGAGAACAGAGCCGGTGGTAAATACATTTACTCTATTCTTTCTGTAGGCCTATGCAAGCTGAGTTTGAAGTGAACAATGCTGACAAATACATTTTCTCTATTCTCTACACTGGACAAATTCATCCAGTACATACATATTTCCACCATCTAATTTCAGATCATTATTGGAGTATTTATGTAGTTGACTTGTCATGTCTGATGTTAAATCCATTAATTATCTTTGTTTCCACTGTTTCAAGTAGTCATTAGAATAGAACACTTCATGCAGTAAATGACTTTATATGTTCAACATACAATGATATGATTATAGGCATCATAGTATTTCCATCAAAGTTTTCATAAAATTTAACGAAAAACAATGTAAGTTCAATAATATTATTTTACAGATCTCTATCCGTGTCAATATTGCAGAGTGGCATTTTCAAATGTTTCCTTTTTGAAGGCACATTTGAAATTCAAACATGGAGGAGAAGAAATTGCCAATTGGAGTTTAGGTCTCACTTCTAAGAATAGTGAACATTCTTTCCAACCATCAAGTTTTCATCAACATCTTACAATTTTTATGAAAAAAAAGGCTTACAAGTGTGACAGATGTAATAAATGTTTTACAAAGCTTAGCCAATTGAAGAAACACCTTAGAAATAGCATTGAAAAAAAGACTCATAAAGGTGACATAAAAATTGGCCAATTAAAAAAACAGCTAAAAAATCATACTGTTAAAAAGCCTTACAAGTGTGACATATGTGGTAAATATTTTATAAAGCTTTACCAAATAAAGAAACACCTTAAAACTCATACAGGATTAAAGCCTTTTACTTGTGAAACATGTGGCAAATGTTTTTTGCAGTTTTCAAGTTTACAGAGACACCTTCTAATTCATTCAGGAGAAAAGCCTCACAGGTGTGACACATGTGGTAAAAGCTTTTTACAGTTGTCAAATCTAAAGAATCACCATAGACATCATACTGGAGAAAAACCTTACAAATGTGGCACATGTGGTAAAGGTTTCACAGAAAGTAGCAGTTTACTGAAACACCATAGAGTTCATACAGGAGAAAAGCCTTTCAAGTGTGACAAATGTGGTAAATATTTTACAGAATCATCAAACTTAACGAAACATTTAAGAATTCATACTGGAATAAAACCATACAAGTGTGACACGTGTGGTAAATGTTTCACAGCATTTTGGGATTTAAAGAGACACCTTAAAATTCATACAGTAGAAAAGCCTTACAATTGCAACAAATGTGGTAAATGGTTTATGGATCGTGACTACCTAAAGAAACATGTTAAAATTCATTCAGATGATAAGCCTTACAAATGTGACAACTGTTATAAAAGTTTTTCACAGCTTACTTACTTAAAGATACACTTTAGACATCATAACTTAGAAAAGCCTTACAAGTGTGACAGATGTAATAAATGTTTTACAAAGCTTAGCCAATTGAAGAAACACCTTAGAAATAGCATTGAAAAAAAGACTCATAAAGGTGACATAAAAATTGGCCAATTAAAAAAACAGCTAAAAAATCATACTGTTAAAAAGCCTTACAAGTGTGACATATGTGGTAAATATTTTATAAAGCTTTACCAAATAAAGAAACACCTTAAAACTCATACAGGATTAAAGCCTTTTACTTGTGAAACATGTGGCAAATGTTTTTTGCAGTTTTCAAGTTTACAGAGACACCTTCTAATTCATTCAGGAGAAAAGCCTCACAGGTGTGACACATGTGGTAAAAGCTTTTTACAGTTGTCAAATCTAAAGAATCACCATAGACATCATACTGGAGAAAAACCTTACAAATGTGGCACATGTGGTAAAGGTTTCACAGAAAGTAGCAGTTTACTGAAACACCATAGAGTTCATACAGGAGAAAAGCCTTTCAAGTGTGACAAATGTGGTAAATATTTTACAGAATCATCAAACTTAACGAAACATTTAAGAATTCATACTGGAATAAAACCATACAAGTGTGACACGTGTGGTAAATGTTTCACAGCATTTTGGGATTTAAAGAGACACCTTAAAATTCATACAGTAGAAAAGCCTTACAATTGCAACAAATGTGGTAAATGGTTTATGGATCGTGACTACCTAAAGAAACATGTTAAAATTCATTCAGATGATAAGCCTTACAAATGTGACAACTGTTATAAAAGTTTTTCACAGCTTACTTACTTAAAGATACACTTTAGAAATCATAACTTAGAAAAGCCTTACAAGTGTGACAGATGTAATAAATGTTTTACAAAGCTTAGCCAATTGAAGAAACACCTTAGAAATAGCATTGAAAAAAAGACTCATAAAGGTGACATAAAAATTGGCCAATTAAAAAAACAGCTAAAAAATCATACTGTTAAAAAGCCTTACAAGTGTGACATATGTGGTAAATATTTTATAAAGCTTTACCAAATAAAGAAACACCTTAAAACTCATACAGGATTAAAGCCTTTTACTTGTGAAACATGTGGCAAATGTTTTTTGCAGTTTTCAAGTTTACAGAGACACCTTCTAATTCATTCAGGAGAAAAGCCTCACAGGTGTGACACATGTGGTAAAAGCTTTTTACAGTTGTCAAATCTAAAGAATCACCATAGACATCATACTGGAGAAAAACCTTACAAATGTGGCACATGTGGTAAAGGTTTCACAGAATGTAGCAGTTTACTGAGACACCATAGAGTTCATACAGGAGAAAAGCCTTTCAAGTGTGACAAATGTGGTAAATATTTTACAGAATCATCAAACTTAACGAAACATTTAAGAATTCATGCTGGAATAAAACGTTACAAGTGTGATACGTGTGGTAAATGTTTCACAGCTTTTTGGGATTTAAAAAAACATGTTAAAATTCATTCAGGAGAAAAGCCTTACAATTGTGACAAATGTGGTAAATGGTTTAAGGATCGTGACTACCTAAAGAAACATGTTAAAATACATTCAGATTATATGCCTTACAATTGTGACAACTGTGATAAAAGTTTTTCACAACTTACTTACTTAAAGATGCACCTTAGAAATCAAAACTTAGAAAAGACTTTCAAGTGTGACAAATGTGGAAAATGTTTCACAACAAATCATTCTTTAAAAAACCACCTTAGATTTCACGCAGGTGAATTACCTTACAGGTGTGACAAATGTGGTAAATCTTTTGCATTGAAGAGCAGTCTGCGGAACCACTTTATAATTCGTCATAAGTGTGGCAAATGTGGTAAATGTTTCATACAAAGTAAAAGTTTACAGAAACACCAAGCAATCCATACTGGTGAAAAGCCTTTCATGTGTGAAAAATGTGGTAAATGTTTTGCACTCCTGACCTATTTACAGAACCACTGTAAAATTCATTTAGGAGAAAAGCCTTACAACTGTAAGAAAGGTGATAAGTTTTTCACTCACATTAAATCTGTACAGGAACACCATAGAATCCATTCTGGTGAAAAGCCTTACATGTGTGACAAATGTGGTAAATGTTTTGTAAGGCTGACCAATTTACAGAACCACTGTAAAATTCATCTAGCAGAAAAGCCTTACATGTGTGATAAATGTGGAAAATGTTTTACATTCTCCTACATTTTACAGTCACACAATAGAATTCATACAGGTGAAAAGCCTCACAAGTGTATCACTTGTGGTAAATGTTTCACACTAGAATCAGGTTTAAAGAAGCATCAAAGACTTCATACTGGAGAAAAACCTTACAAATGTGTCACTTGTGGCAAATGTTTCACACACCCCTCAGCTTTAAAGAGCCACCATAGAATTCATTCAGGAGAAAATCTTTACAAATGTGCCAATTGTGGTAAATGTTCCAATAATTTAGCAGGTTTACAAAAACACCTTAAAACACATACAGGAAAAAAAAAATACTTGTGCATCATATGTGGTAAATGTTTCTCAGACACTTCCACTTTACAGAACCACCAAAACATTCATAAAAGAGAAAAGCCTTACAGTTGTGACAAATGTGGTACTCGTTTTGCACTACAGAGTACTTTACAGAAACATCAACTCATACATGAGAAAAGCCTTACAAATTTACAAAACACCTTAGAATTCATACAGGAGAGAAACAAGTTTGACAAATGAGGTAAAGTTTTTCTGATCTCAAAAATGATTCTTGCGTGTCTTTTTGAGATAAACATCACCTGAAGTGTCCTTTGATGTGCCCTGTATAGTGAATGACCTTTCTTTGTGAAATATTGTTTAAGTTAAAGATTAATTATTGTTTTCTGTTTGACTGTTAGCATTTTTTTATTTAATTTCAAGGTTTTTCTTTGTTATTTTTTGGTTTAGTTTTGTTCAAGTTCAATGGAGAGAGTGTGTAGGTGCTTAGTACATTCTAGTAAATTAGTTTTAAACTAATATGCACTTAGTTAAAGTCAGCAAGGTAGAGCAATATTCAATTAAAATGGTAAATACAGGGCTAGTTGTAGATCTAGCTATTTGAGATAAATCCATGGTAAAATAAATGTGTGCCCAATTATATTTCTTACCATTATTACTTTTTCACAACAATTCCACTTTTTCTAAGTGCTTATGAAAATATAAAGCAAAATATAGCAGTATTGTAAACCTTTTAAAACTTTGACCTACCTAGGTGTAGCTAAATGTATATTTAGCCTGTCTATAGCTACAGGACAAAATTTAGCAAACAATATATATGAAGTATTAAGGAAGCAATTAGATGAGCGGAATATTACATATATAGACTATTAGTTTTGTTGTCTCTAATAAAAATCTTTGCATACATTTTGTGTTCTGTTTATTATTAATATCGTGAAGCTAAATAAATCTAATTAAATGTAACTAGTTTTAAGAATGATTATAAATTTTAAAATCTGAAAACTAAACTCTTTTTAATTACAGCACATTAATGGTCATGGTTCGTAAATCCTTACAATGTTGCATTATATAACTAAAAGTATAAGCAAAATCCTACGCCCTGCTTGTTCAAGACTAGTGTCCACTTGTAAAGAAAGTAAAATAAAGTTCCCCTGGCAACCCACAGGGTAGGTGAAGTATAGTTCACCAGTTTCAGTGACATCAGCTTATGAAGGGATAGTGTTGTCAGCGGCGAGGGGTGCGGACCGCACCGGGTGACACCAAGGCAAAAAATAGCAAAATATATAGAGAAAAACTTGAGGGGGGGGGTGGAAATTGAAAGTTTGTCCCCGGGAAGGGTCGCTACGCCTCGGTGGGGGGGGGGGGGGGTTGACACCCGACCTCGCTACGACACTGGTCAGCGGTCGTCGTCGACAGCCCTGGGAAACAGGACAACCCCAGCAGATTGACACGCCAACATAGCAACCAGCTGAAACTTAAAGGAGCTCTTGATTAGGTCCTTAATTTTTTAAAATAACATTGTGCTGTAGTTGCGCCACATATGCATACATATATAATTTCATCAGCGAAGAGAAATACTATTAATTTAACTACAACCTTTTAAATAATTAAAACATAGAAAAGGAAAATAAAACACAACTTGTAACCCAAAATTGTGTGTCACCTTGCTGCAAGACAATTTTTAATTAATAGATTTTCTCCTAAAAAAAAATTTTAAGTGACCTAAGAACAAACGTTAAGCTGGTGCGTAACCAATATGTACAGGATGAACATAAGTGCCTCAAATCGAATACGCTTTTATGCTTAGGTTTGCTTTGCTGAATTGATTTTTTTCTTCATGAAATGGATAGGCTTACTTGCGAAGACGAACAAGTGCTTGCATTCCAACGAGAAACTGCTAAAGTGGCTTACACCCCTTTTAAGTCACCGCCTGTACATAACCACTGCTCCAAAATAACAGCAGTAGGACGATACCCCCCCCCCCCCCCCCCAATCCGATAAATTACCCACCCGTCATTTAGAGAAAGAGGTAGGGGGAGATTAATAATGAGTAAGGAGTAATATAGGTATGTGTAAGTACAGGAGCCGGTTCGGGTATAAGCAGAGGCGTAGCGATGGGGGGGGGGGGGGGGGGAGGGTGGACATATGTCCCCGGGCGTCGACCTCAGGGAGCGCCAAAATGGGTTGGAAAAAGTAATCTAAAGTTTGAAGGGGGGATGCAAATCGAAAGTTTGTCCCAGGTCGCCGGGAAGGGTCGCTACGCCTCTGGGTACAAGTATTGGTGCAGGTATAGGGTAAGAGTGCGAATAGAAAAAAATAAAATGGGATAAGGGAAGAGGTATAGAAAGGGATAGATTTAAGCAGTGGCGTAGCGAGGTCGGGTGTCACCCGGTGCGGCACTTAATGGTGTCACCCCTCAGAGGCGTAGCGACCCTTCCCGGGGACAAACTTTCAACTTTTCGATTCGCAACCCCCTCAAGTTTTCGATTTGCACACCCCCCCCCCCCCTCAAACATTCGATTTGCGCCCCCCTCAAGTTTTTCTCTATATATTTTGCTATTTTTTGCCTTGGTGTCACCCCACCCCCCCCCCTAAATGGTGTCACCCGGTGCGGTCCGCAACCTCCGCCCCCCCCCCCCCCCCCCCCGCCTCGCTACGCCCCTGGATTTAAGATTGGTATAGTGATGGGTGTTGGTAAATTGCAAAATGGCGAGGGGGTAAATTTGTGAGAAGGGTGCGAAAAACGGCGGTCACTTGATATTTTTGTCTCGTATCTTACCCCCACCTGCTACTTACTCTGGGTGGGGGTAAAATGCGAAGATGTTTTTGAAAAAAAACTGCACCTGATTTACCATGAACTTTCATGCAGACGAAAGCAGTAGTGTAGCTAGGGTAGGGCGGGTGGACTGGGAGCAGACCCCAAGGGAGCGCTAAAAGGGAAAGAAAAATCAATTTTAAAGCTCGTTTTAAGCTGAAGTATCGAATTATACATAGTAAAAGTTACGAAAATAAACGACTACAAGGTTTTACACACTGATTTAACTAGTTTTTTAATCAATTTTGAGTCGCTCAAATAGAAATTGTTAAAATTGTAGAATCTAGATAAACTTCTTTCTTTCGTGTTGAATACCAAAGCCGCCCGATATATTGCATTCGAACATCACCGCTGCCGCCACAAGCAGAAACTTATTGTATTGTAGCAAAGAAATACTAGATTTTCTATAGTCTATATTGTTATGGCCGCCAACGATTTATTTTTTCATCTATGGGCCCGGTGTCGACGCTAGGTGTCACTCGGTTAAAGATAGGAATGTATTAGCCTTACATTAACAAGGTTGGGGGTCAAGTTTATGCTTACTGTTCGAGTTAGTGTTAATATATATTATTATATATGCCTATTTTCTAACGCATCCAACATTTAATTGAAAAAATTACATATTTCTAAAACCCGGGCAGCAGAGGGTATCGGCTGCTAGTATTCATTGCAAGTTACATCCCTTTAAAAGAAATCGCCTGTCAAATTTCGAGTAAACAAAATGTATCGATTACCAAATACTAATTAAATTTTTATTTATTATGAAAAATTGTGTAGATCAATAAAATGAAGGTTTAAAAAGAATTTTAATTGCTAAATGTAAAAGCAGATAGTTAAGTAAAAGAATTCTTAAACAAATATACTGAACAAATTAACATTATCTATTAACAACTTTATGGATTCGGCTTTAAATCTCACGTTTGCCTGGTTCCGAGTAGCGATCTAAACGTAGCGAGTACATTATCAGGCAAGTTGTGGCGCTGCTGCACCGTTCAAAATTTTTAAACCATGCTATAATAATTCTAATTAAGATTAAGATTAATAATCTCCGCAGCTGAAGTCTGTAGCTAAGGTTATTTTGTTCTTAACATTATTTTATTAATATCAAAAGTATCACCCTTTCTCTAGTTATAAAAACTAGATTAATTTGATTTGATTAAATATTAAAGAAAAAATAAATAGATTCTAGATTTTCTAGAGTCTAGACAGTCTAGATTAGTCTAGATTTTTAGATCTAGGACTAGGATCTAAATCTAGATCTAGATCTAGCTGGACTAGGACTCTGGGACTAGATCTAGATCTACGGCCTACATGACTAGATCTAGATTCTACATGAAATATTTAATAAATTAATAATTAATATTAATGGAAAATATAAAAAATAATTTAATTAATTAATTATAATTTAAGTTAATAGTAATAATAGCATAGACTATATTTAATTATTTATTTTATAGATTCTAGAATAAATCTAGATTGGTATAGAATAGACAGAATATCTTTATCTAGATCTAGTAAATAATAGTAAATATCTAGATTCTAGTTAAGTCTAAGTAAGTAGTAAGTAGATCTAGATCTAGTAAGTTATAGACAGACTATCAAGATTTCTAGTTCTATAATCTAGTCTCTTGTGCTTTCAAACTCAAGATCTAAACTAGTTAGATGTATCTAGATCTAGATGAAATTGAAATAAATTAATATAATAGTATAAATAATAAACAACTGTCTAGCAATATCAAACAAATGTGAATTTAAATACTAGATCTGTGAAAATACTACACAATATATATATATATATGTATATATGTATATATATATATATATATATATATATATATATATATATATATGTATATATATATATATATATGTATATATATATATATATATATATATATATATATATATATATATATATATATATATATATATACACATACACACTTCCTGTGTAGTACCCCAACATACTCGTGCTCAACAACTTGACATAAGACTTTTGAATTGCGAGCTTTCATGTTGTGAATAATATGTAGAAAGCTATTTTTCAGATGACTAGTATAGAATAGTATTCTGACATTTTCAGGTGTAATTTGGTGACAGCTATGCCAGAGACTTGGGCATTTATTTACAGAGGGTTGGTGTTGTAAACAAGAACAGTTTGATAAAAATGGAGAGCAATGCTGGTGGTAAATCAATTTCATCAATTATTTAAAGTTTTGTTTGCAAGTTGAGTTTAATGACATTGATTGAAGCATTGTCTTGGTTCTTTACATTGGGCCAATTTGTCCAGCACATACATCTTATCTAGGGTGTCGCATAAGATGTTTAGCTTTATTTTTGTTTAAGGTGACTAAAACAATTAAAAACTATAATTATTTACCTTTAATTTTTTTCTAACTTTAATTATCAGAATTCATTAATAGCCTAGAAAAATTATTATTAAAAAAAAAACTTTATTTTATTATGGCTATGATACTATGACTGATATGATAATTTTTAAGCTATGTTATAGTGATGCATTAGAATGTTCAACATTCAAATACATGGTGGGCTAAATAGCGGGCTTTGTGCTTCAATTAAGTTATTATTTTCCCTTATTTGTTTCTCAGATTAGAATATATTTTTAATGATTAAATCTAATCTACTACTACAGGGTACCTAATTTGTTATCAGTTATAAAGCTTATAGAATGTACATTATCTTCTGCTACCTTGTACTCAGCAAAATGAATAAATATACTGCATATGAAAAATGCATTGCAAACACTAAATATTCATTGTTGTAAGCTAATCAAAGGCATCGTAGAATTTTCTCATTAAATTAATTACACTATATAGCATTGAAATGACCGTTATACAATGTAAAAAAATAAAAAGGACTTCTTTTCTTATAGCGATCAATAACAATGCAACTTACAATAAACTTAAACATCAACAAATTTCAATTTAATAATATTATTTTACAGATCTCTATCCATGTCAATATTGCAAAGTGGCATTTTCAAATGTTTCCTTTTTGAAGACACATTTGAAATTCAAACATGGAGGAGAAGAAATTGCCAATTGGAGTCTAGGTCTCACTTCTAAAAATAGTGAACATTCTTTCCAACCATCAAGTTTTCATCAACATCTTACTATTTTTATGAAAACAAAGGCTTACAAGTGTGACAGATGTAATAAATGTTTTACAAAGCTTAGCCAATTGAAAAAACACCTTAGAAATAGCACTGAAGAAAAGACTCGTGAGTGGGACACAAAAATTGGCCAATTTAAACAACAGCTAAAAAATCATACTGTTAAAAAGCCTTACAAGTGTGACATATGTGGTAAATGTTTTACAAAGCTGTACCAAATAAAGAAACACCTTAAAACTCATACTGGATTAAAGCCTTATACTTGTGAAACATGTGGCAACTGTTTTTTGAAGTTTTCATGTTTACAGAGACACCTTCTAATTCATTCAGGAGAAAAGCCTTACAAGTGTGACACATGTGGTAAAAGCTTTTTACAGTTTTCAAATTTAAAAAGTCACCAAAGACATCATACTGGAGAAAAACCTTACAAATGTGGCACATGTGGTAAAGGTTTCACAGAATGTAGCAGTTTACTGAGACACCATAGAGTTCATACAGGAGAAAAGCCTTTCAAGTGTGACAAATGTGGTAAATATTTTACAGAATCATCAAACTTAACGAAACACTTAAGAATTCATACTGGAATAAAACCATACAAGTGTGATACATGTGGTAAATGTTTCACAGCGTTTTGGGATTTAAAGAAACATGTTAAAATTCATTCAGGAGAAAAGCCTTACAATTGTGACAAATGTGGTAAATGTTTTATGGATCGTGACCGCCTTAAGCAACATGTTAAAATTCATTCAGATGAAAAACCTTACAAATGTGACAACTGTGATCAAAGTTTTTTACAGCTTACTTACTTAAAGATACACCTTAGAAATCAAAACTTAGAAAAGCCTTACCAGTGTGACAAATGTGGTAAATGTTTCACAACAAGACATTCATTAAACAACCACCTCAGATTTCACACAGGGGAATTACCCTACAGTTGTGACAAATGTAGTAAATCTTTTGTATCGAAGAGGACTTTACAGACCCACTTAAGAATTCATACTAAACCTCATTAGTGTGACAAATGTGGCAAATGCTTCATGGAGCTATCAAAGTTTCAGAAACACTGTGGAATTTATACATGTGAAAAGCCTTACAAGTGTGGTAAATGTGGTAAATGTTTTACAACAAATCATTTTTTAAACAACCACATTAGAATTCACACAGATGAATTACCGTACAGGTGTGATAAATGTGGTAAATCTTTTGCATTGAAGAGCAGTCTGCTGAACCACTTTATAATGCATGCTCAACGTCATAAGTGTGATAAATGTGGTAAATTTTTCACACAAAGTAAAAGTTTACAGAAACACCAAGCAATCCATACTGGTGAAAAACCTTTCATGTGTGAAAAATGTGGTAAATGTTTTAAACTCGTGGACTATTTACAGAACCACTGTAAAATTCATTTAGGAGAAAAGCCTTACAACTGTAAGAAAGGTGATAAGTTTTTCACTCACATTAAATCTGTACAGGAACACCATAGAATCCATTACGGTGAAAAGCCTTACATGTGTGACAAATGTGGTAAATGTTTTGTAAGGCTGACCAATTTACAGAACCACTGTTAAATTTATCTAGCAGAAAAGCCTTACATGTGTGATAAATGTGGAAAATGTTTTGCATTCTCCTACATTTTACAGTCACACAATAGAATTCATACAGGTGAAAAACCTCACAAGTGTAACACTTGTGGTAAATCTTTCACACTAGAATCAGATTTAAAGAAGCATCAAAGAATTCATACTGGAGAAAAACCATACAAGTGTGTCAATTCCGATAAATGTTTCACACATGACTCAGGTTTAAAGAAGCATCAAAGACTTCATACTGGTGAAAAACCTTACAAATGTGCCTATTGTGGTAAATGTTCCAATAATTTAGCAGGTTTACAAAAACACCTTAAAACACATACAGGAAAAAAAAAATACTTGTGCATCATATGTGGTAAATGTTTCTCAGACACTTACACTTTACAGAACCACCAAAACATTCATAAAAGAGAAAAGCCTTACATTTGTGACAAATGTGGTACTCGTTTTGCACTACAGAGTACTTTACAGAAACACCAACTCATACATGAGAAAAGCCTTACAAATTTACAAACACCTTAGAATTCATACAGGAGAGAAGCAGTGTGATATGTGAGGTAAAAGTTTTTCTGATCTCAAAAATGAGATAAGCATCACCTGAAGTGTCCTTTGATGTGCCCTGTATAGTGAATGACCTTTCTTTGTTAAATATTGTTAAAGATTAATTATTGTTTTCTGTTTGACTGTTAGCATTTTTAATTTCAAGGTTTTTCTTTGTTATTGTTTTTTTTAGTTTTGTTCAAGTTTAATTGAGTGTGTAGGTGCTTAGTACACTCTAGTAAATTAGTTTTAAACTGATGTATATAGTTAAAGTCAGCAATGTAGAGCCATATTCAAATAAAATTGTAAATACAACGCCAATGTAGACCTCACTATTTGAGATAAATCCAATTGTCAGGTGTCAACTCTTTGGTTTTTTTTATAAACCAATCAATGCATCATTGTAAAAGAAATGTGTGGCCAATTATATTTCTTTACAATTTTACATTATAACTAATTCACAACAATTCTATTTTTTCTACATACTTATACAAATACAAAGCAAAATATAGGCATATTGTAAACATTTTAACAAGTTGGACCTACATGATGCTCTTGAAAAAACATAATTATGAGGGGGTTGTGTGTTACTGTTATAGTATGATTATTTTAACATTCTAGAGGTTTCAAACAAATCTATCTAGGTGTAGCTATATGTATTTAGCATGTCTATAACAACAGGACAATTATATTTCTTTTACATTATAACTAATTCACAACAATTCTATTTTTTCTACATGCTTATAAAAATATAAAGCAAAATATAGGCATATTGTAAACATTTTAACAAGTTGGACCTACATAATGCTCTTGAAAAAACATAATTATGAGGGGGTTGTGTGTTACTGTTATAGTATGATTATTTTAACAGATTAAAGGTTTCAAACAAATCTATCTAGGTGTAGCTATATGTATTTAACCTGTCTATAACAACATGACAAAATTTAGCGACAAATATATTTGAAGTATTAAGGAAGCAATTAGATGAGCAGAATATTAAACATATAGGCTAGCAGTTTTATTGTCTCTAATAAAAATCTTTGAATACTTTTTGTATTCTGTTTGTTATTACTACCATGAAGTTAAACAAATCAAATTAAATTAGGTATTCTAAATGAAATTTTCATACTGAAATTTTTAAAATTTTAACACTTCCACCTGATAGGGATTGCTTTCATCAGAACAGAAACACCAAATTTATTGATGTATGTCCATTTTTAAAAAAGTTATGAATTTTTTAAAACTCAAAAAATGTGTTCGCTTTTCGAGCAGTAAAGGGTCTATTTGAGACCCCTACTAACTTCTAAAATAACTAAGTTAGAACTCACAAATTTCTTGCACACACAGCCAGCAATACAAATAGCAAACCCAGACAGATATAAATGGAAAATTTATTCACTTAAAAATGAGCCAAAGCACAATTTTACCAAAGTACGAAAAGGGAGACAAAAAGTCAATTTACAGTCATTTTTAAAAAATCATATAAAATAAACTAATTAAGCCACATTGATAATATAAATGTTCTAAGAAAGGAAATTCAAAGCATGTTAATATAAAATAAGCAGGTAAAGAATTAATAAAGAAAGTAATTAGCGAGACCAGATTCTGCAAGGTCAGTTTATAAAAATTAGAAATTTCATCCTTTTTCAAAAAATTATTAAAAAATATTGAAGTAAGGTATCTTAATAAATTTTACACCATCTTAAAGCACATGATGTTCTTAATATATAATAAACACAGAAACATAAAATAATCATTCTGCAAAACAATATAAGGCATCCTTCCTTAACGCCCAAAATCAAGAATTTTCATTACCTAACATCTTGTAAAAAGTGTCCTTACTTTTAAGAAAGTAATATAAATTGTGTAGGAAACATGTTAGCATTACTTTGTTATAAAAAATTAAATAACAATACTATTACTTTACTTATATATACTTACTAAGGAGAAATTTCATGCCTTTTAAACACTGATGAAGTAAGATAACTAATTAAACTAAAATTCTTTATAAATGATCCTAACTGTTAGCTTTGTGATGTTCATCTAGTTTTGTTACTCTGCTCCCTAATCATGACATGCTTAGCCTAAATTTACTTGTTACCAGTAAATTTATTTCTTCTAGATCTAGTTAGTTATTGATCAATGTCAACTTCTGGAAATGTCTAGGTCCTAACTTATACAATTATCAGAAATCTTAGAGCAGGTTAAAAAAGACAGGTCAATATCCTGATTGGGAAAGTTCTCTATGAGGTTGGGTAGCATTGTAATTAATAGTCAATATCTTGGTTGAGTTTGTCTTCTTCTTCAAGGTTTGGAGTAGCATTGTAATAAATTATTGTGAACTGGCAGCACACATCAAATTATGGAAACTAGTAAGGGATCTTTCCATTGGTCCAGAGTATAGAAAATGTCTGTGAATAAAAACAATTAATTAGCATTTCCAATATACTGACTTATATAGTAGGTCTGTATATCTTTATACCTACTTAGATATTAATCATGTAACATTACATCATAATAACTAAGTGTAATAAGCAAAGTGCAGAAAATACTGACATATGGTTTCCTTCAAAGGTATTCAGTAGTCCTGTTGGTGCTTACACAAACAATACACATTTTTGGCAGGCCTTTCAGTTTCCCCTTTCTTTTGCTAATATCTTGCTCTGTAAATAGAATAATATTAAAAGTAAGGCTGCTCAATGCTTTTTTAGATATCAAAGGTAAACACTTTAGATAGTTCTACTACGAAATATTAACATGAAAGCAATAGTGAATCTAACTAATCTAACTAGATCTAGAAACAATTTTGGGTTAAACTATTACTGAAGGGGGGCTACATTTTATTTTAATGTCGTCAGTTCAATAAACCTAGAGATCAGAAACATTAACAATCGTAGTATTCTAAAATTTAATGTAATTACTGCAATTATATAGAATAGTTAACTATTAAACTAGGAAAAACAAAATAAACAATGCTACAATAAATTGAAAGTATGCTGTTAACCCTGCGTAATATAATAGTTGAATCCAACATTACGAGAAGGCAAAAAAAAAAAATGGCCGACAAGCGGCTTGAAATATCGACAATTTATTGATTGTTTAATCGGTCGATGTTAGTAATTAATAAGATTCACGAATACAAATTAAATTCTATCACACTTTTTAACATCTTTTTGATTTAACTGTGCATTCCTTTTTTATTTTGGTAATCGTAAATTAAATACAAAGAACTTTTAAAAAGGTCTAGATAATTTTTTTGTAAATGTTTTTTTAAGCGTGTAGCAATTACCGATAAGTGGACACTAAAATGCAAATGGTTTAAAGCAGCAGTTTATTATAAATAAAATGAATATAGCTAATAATTTATAAAGCACTTAACTTACCTAGACATTGTTTAAAATCCATGGTAATCCGCGAATAAACACAAAATCCTGCTTTGAACTTGAGCCGGGTGTTCCGTGACATTACGCAAAACTAGATTTAAGCCGGCAAAAGTTAGCGCGGGTCATCACGATACGTATGCGTTCGTTTTTATTTCTGCGATCCGATACCATACATTAAGTGTTAATTAAATTATAACATTTTTTTGGTAAATTGGACGCCCGATCTGAATATATAATTTTGCCGGCTGTAAAATAATTTTTTCGTTTAAAAAAATGATTTGAAACTTTTAAATCTATCATTTTTAGCATTAAATTATATTTTACAGCGTGCAAAGTCATATCATCTTAAAGGTCGTCCATTCTACTTTCTATATTAGTTTTTAGTGTAATCGTATGTATTATGGTATCGGATCTCCGAGCGTTGGCGCAACCCGACCAAATTTTTTTGCGCGCAGTACGTTTTTTTCGGCTCATTTAGAATACCTAATTAAATGTAACTAGTTTTAAGAATGACTGTAAATTTTAATATCTGAAATCTAAACTCATTTTAATTACACCACATTAATGTTCTAGGCTCGTAAACCTTTACAATGTTGCATTATATAACTAAAAGTATAAGCAAAATCCTACACCCTGCTTGTTCAAGACTAGTGTCCCTTGTAAATAAAGTAAAATAAAGTTCCCCTGGCAATCCACAGGGCAGGTGAAGTATAGTTCACCAGTTTCAGTGACCTCAGCATATGTAGGGATAGTGTGGTCAGCAGCTCTCTGTTGTCAGGTCCCGTGTCCGTCCGTCGTCCCCCCCCCCCCCTTAGAGATGTGCTACAACTCTAACCTTGGACCTAAACTCAAGACTTTCAGCTTAGCAGACAAACACTCTACCACTGTACTATGCCATAGAGTGGCAAATTATTGTTCATTGTTTAATAAAAAAAAAAAATTATAGTATGTAGACAACCATTAACTTAGTGAATGCTATAAAAGTAAACATCTGTTGCAGTTTTCACTGAGATTTTTTTTTTTTTTTTTTTTTTTGCATATAGATTATTAAAAATATAAGTTATTAATAACATAAGAGAGGAATGAAATACATTAAAGATAATAGTGATATGGTGATGATACTGGTAGTAATGATAAAAAAATCTGCTGATAACTCTTGTAAAATCTGAAAAAAAAGACAATAGTAACTCTAGTAAACAAGACAACCTTCAATGTCATGACAACCCAAGGCAACATGACAACCATACCCAGTATAACAACCAATGTGACAACTTTAGCCTAAATGACAACACCAACCAGTATGCATCTCTAGCCATCATGGCAACTCTAGGCAAATTGACAAATTCAACGACTTGACACACCTATTCAGCATGGAAACCCAAGCCATTATGACAACCCTAGGCAATTTGAAAAACCAGGCAACATGACAAGCCTTGCCATCATAGCAAACTATTATTAATACTATTAATTTAACTACAATCTTTTATATAATTAAAACATAGAAAAGGAAAATAAAACACAACAACATTATGTTGCCTAGTGACTTGTAACCCAACATTGTGTGTCAATTAGCCGCAAGACAATTTTTAATTAACAGATTTTCTCCCATAACTTTTTTTTTTAAAAGTGACCTAAGAAAAAACGTGCTGCTGGTGTGTAACCAGTAGGTAGGGGCTATGAACAGGATACACATAAGTGTCTCAAATCGAATAACACGCGAACATTTTTTAATGCTTACGTTTGCTTTGTTAAATTGAATTTTTTTCTTCATGAAATGGATAGGCCTACTTGCGGCGATGAACAAGTGCTTGCATTCCAACGAGAAACTGCTGAAGTGGCTGACACTACTTTTAAATCACCGCCTGTACATTACCCCCCCCCCCCCCCCACCCCAAAAAAAAAACAGCAGTAGGACAATAACCCCCCCTCCCCCCGAATCCAATCAATTACCCATCCGTCATTTAGAGAAAGAGATAGGGGGAGATTAAGAATGGATATGGAGTAGTAGGCCTATAAGGTATGTGTAAGTACAGAAGCCGGTTCAGGTACGAGTATGAATACGAATAGAAAAAATGAAATCGGATAGAGGAAGTGGTATAGAAAGGGATAGATTTATGATTGGTATAGTGATGAGCAGTAGCGTAGCGAGGGGGGGGGGGGGCGGGGGGGGGACATATGTCCCCGGGCGCCGACCTTAGGGGGGGGGCGCTAAATTGAAAGTTTGAGGGGGGGGGGTGCAAATGAAAAGTTCGAGGGGGGGGGGTGCAAATCGAAAATTTTCTCCCAAGGGGGCGCCAAATTGAAAGTATGTCCCCGGGCGCCGGGAAGGGTCGCTACACCTCTGGTGATGAGTGTAGGTAAATGGCGAGGCGGTAAATATGTGAGAAGGGTGCGAAAACCGGCGGTTACTTGACATTTTTGTCTCGCATCTTACTCCCACCTGCTACTTGCTCTGGGCGGGGATAAAATGCGAAGATGTCTGTGAAAAAACACTGCACCCAATTTATCATGAAATTTCATGCAGACGAAAGCAGAGGTGTAGGTAGGGCGGGTGGACTGGGAGCAGACCCAAAGGGGGCGCCAAAAGGGAAAGAAAAATCAATTCAAAAGCTCGTTTTAAGCTGAGGTATCGAATTATACACAGTAAAAGTTATGAAAATAAACGACTAGACTCTACAAGGTTTTACACACTGATTTAACTAGTTTTTTAATCAATGTTGAGGCACTGAAATAGAAATTGTTACGGGATAGTTACTGGTAAGAAGCGCCACAAATCTTTCCAAATAGAGGAGTGAGGGGCGTTTTTCACAAACATGAATAACTATATAGAAACGGGAGGGAGGGGGTGAAAATTTATATCCATTCCACCCCCGGCGCAGGAATAGGTCGCTACGCCTCTGGATGAAAAATGTTTCGTTTCTATTGCTATAACTTTCGATTTTTCCGTCGCTAGACATGCTGATTTATCAACCTCTTTCTTTTTGTCGATTTGAAATACCATCTTGTTTAAAGTAAATTAAAGCCGCCCGAAATACCGCATTTTAAATTTGTTTCCATAGCTAGGCGTGCCGAAGATAGATCTAGAATCTAGAGATAAACTTCTTTCTTTCGTGTGGAATACCAAAGCCGCCCGATATATCGCCTTCGAACATCACCGCTGCCGCCACAAGCAGAAACTGATTGTATTGTTACATTGTAGCAAAGAAATACTAGATTTTCTATATAATTATGGCCGCCAACGATTTATTTTTTCATATATGGGCCCGGTGTCGTCGCTAGGTGTCACTCGGTTAAAGATAGGAATGTATTAGCCTTACATTAGCCTAACAAGGTCGGGGGTCAAGTTTATGCTTACTATTCGAGTAGTGTAATATATATGCCTATTTTCTAACGCATCCAACATTTAATTGAAACAAGTTAATAAAAAGTCTAGTGACAATCTAAGCGCAATTTCCTTATGTTATCTAAAAATAGATCTGTCGTAGCGTAAAGCACACACGGGGACAAATCACAAGACGTATAATGCTGGGGTGCGTTCAAGCTAGGAGAACGATCGGTTTGTAGGTGTTTATGTAATTTTTTTTTTTTTTTTTTTTTTAATTTTGTGACCGAACGAAAGGATATTTTTGAAAACTTTCTTCGGCAATATTGTTCTAAATTATGGCATGAAACGATTGGTAAATGTTTCAAGTCCCTAAGTGGTCTGGTTACCGAGATATGGGCCAAAAACTGCATTTTTTTCGAGTTTTTTTGGCTTTACCGGGAAATCCAGGAAGGAATTCCGGAATGTTTTGCCAACAATCATCCTCGGAACTTGCTTAACATATTTGCTTTTGAAACTAGTCCTCGATATTGCTTCGTTGAGGAGGAGATACGACTTAAAGCTGCGGCCACACATCGGACACACATCCATCCAGAACGAGTTAATAATCGCAATTGTCAAAATTGAGCTAGAAAATTACATATTTCCAAAACCCGGGCAGCATCTGGTATCAGCTGCTAGTATTCATTGCAAGTTACATCCCTTTAAAGGAAATCGCCAGTCAAATTTTGAGTGAACAAAATGTATCGATTACCAAATGCTAATTTAATTTTAATTTATTATGAAAAATTTTGTAGATCAATAAAATGAAGGTTTAAAAAGAGTTTTAATTGATGAATGTAAAAGATGATCGTTAAGTAAAAGAATTCTTAAACAAATATACTGAACAAATTAACATTAGCTATTAACAACTTTATGGATTCGGTTTTCAATCTCACGTTTGCCTGGTTCCGAGTAGCGATCTAAACGTAGCGAGTACATTAGGCCTATCTGGCAAGTTGTGGCGCTGCTACACCGTTCAAATTTTTAAAACCATGCTAATAATAATTCTAATTAATTAAGATTAAAGATTAATAATCTCTGCAGCTGAAGTCTGTAGCTAAGGTTGTTTTGTTATTAACATTATTTTATTAATATTAAAAATCTAGGTTAATTAATTGATTTGATTAAATATAATATATAGATCTAGATCTAGATTTCTAGGCAGGACTACCTAGTACCTAGTTAGTACCTAGATCTAGATCTAGATCTACCTACGGCCTAGTCTACATGAAATATTTAATTTATTTAATTAAATATTAGAATCTAGATCTAATCTAAAATATCAAAAATAATTTAATTATAATTTAAGTTAGTAGAATAGATTATTTTATAGATTCTAGAATAAATCAGTATTAAATCTAGATTGGTATAGAATAGATTATAGAATAGTATAGACATAATCTAAAATTTCTAGATCTAGTAATCTAGTTAGATCTAGATCTAGAATCTAGTAGTTAAGTACTAAGTAGTAGACTAGTAGATCTAAGTATTTATTAAGTATAGTCAGACAATCTAGATTTCTAGGTGTTGATTCTAGTAGTATCACTATCTAGATCTAGATCTAGTCTCTTGTTCTCTCAAACTCGAGATCTAATCTAGTTGGATGTACCCAGATGGAACATAAATAAAATAATAAAACAGTCTAAATAATAAACAACTGTCTAGCAATAACAAACAACTGAGTTTTTTAAATTTCAATACTAGATCTGTGAAAATACTTCACAATATATATATATATATATATATATATATATATATATATATATATATATATATATATATATATGTATATATGTATATATATATTTATTTATTTATTTATTTATACACACATTCTGTGTTGTTCCTCAACATACTCGTGCCCAACAACTTGACATTAGACTTATGAATTATGAGCTTTCATGTGAATGATATGGTGAAAGCTATTTTTCAGTTGACTAGTATAAAACAGTATTCTGATATTTTCAGGTGTACTTTGGTGACAGCTATGCCAGAGACTTGGGCATTTATTTACAGAGGGTTGGTGTTGTAAACAAGAACAGTTTGATCAAAATGGAGAGCAATGCTAGTGGTAAATCAATTGAATCAATTATTTAAAGTTTTGTTTGCAAGTTGAGTTTAATGACATTGATTGAAGCATAGTCTTGGTTCTTTACACTGGGTAAATTCATCCAGCACATACATCTTATCTATACTGCATATTATTATTTATACTGCATATAGAAAATGCATTGCAAACACTAAACATTCATTGTTGTAAGCTAATCAAAGTCATCATAGAATTTTCTTATTAAATTACACTATATAGCTTTGAAATGACCATTATACAATGTAAAAAACAAAAACGAGGACTGTTCTTTTCTTAAAGCCATCAATAACAATGCAACAGCATAAAAAAAAGTAGATCAAACAACAACTTAATCTTATCTCCATCATTTGATTTTTGTTCTTTAATTGTAGTTTTTAATGTAGTTCACTTGTTATGTCTGATGTCATTAATGTGTCATGATATCAGTAATCACTGTCCACTGTATCAGTTACTCATCACTGTGTCCACTGTATCAATTGGGCATCACTGTGTCCACTGTATCAATTTGTTATCACTGTGTCCACTGTTGCAAAAAGTGAGGTCGGCGTGGTCGAGTTGGTAAAGCTCATGGTTGCTAAACCGAAAAAGTCTCGAGTTCGAACCCTCGGGCAGATGAGGCTCGTTAGCTGCGGACAGCCACTCTTCTAGGAGAGACAACTCCAAAATTAAACAACTGCTGCCTTGTAGTTTGTTCTTGGTTGGACAAAGGCTATGGAAGCAAATCCAAAAAGAAAAGCAGGCTGAAATCGGAGTCAATGGCCTCAATGGCGCATAACCAGTTGACACGTAACGCTTAATTGTGTTGGAGGCGTGGTCGAGTCGGCAAAAAGCTCATGGTTGATAAATTCAAAGTAAGGCTCGAGTTCAAACCCACTGGCAGATAAATCTCGATCCCCTTCAACACTAATAATTAAGAACGAAGAAGAAGAAGACTGTGTCCACTGTTGCAAAAAGTCATCTCTATGTCCACTGTATCAATTACTCATCTCTGTGTCCAGTATCAATTACTCATCTCTGTGTCCAGTATCAATTACTCATCTCTGTGCTCTACTGTATCAATTAGTCATCTCTGTGTCCACTGTATCAATTAGTCATCTCTGTGTCCACTGTAGCAACAAGTCATCACTGTCCACTGTTTGAAGTAGACACTAGAAACATGATAAAATAAACACTTCATGCAGTAAAGGACTTTATATTTCAACTTACTATTACATGAATATTGGCATCACAGTATTATATATTAAACTTACAATAAAGTTAATTATCAACAAAGTTCAATTTAATAATATTATTTTACAGATCTCTATCCGTGTCAATATTGCAAAGTGGCATTTTCAAATGTTTCCTTTTTGAAGACACATTTGAAATTCAAACATGGAGGAGAAGAAATTGCCAATTGGACTTTAGCTCTCACTTCTAAGAATAGTGAACATTCTTTCCAACCATCAAGTTTTCATCAACATCTTACAATTTTTATGAAAAAAAAGGCTTACAAGTGTGACAGATGTAATAAATGTTTTACAAAGCTTAGCCAATTGAAGAAACACCTTACAAATAGCATAGAAAAAAAGACTCATAAGGGTGACACAGAAATTGGCCATTTAAAAAAACAGCTAAAACATAATACTGTTGAAAAGCCTTACAAGTGTGACATATGTGGTAAATATTTTATAAAGCTTTACCAAATAAAGAAACACCTTAAAACTCATACAGGATTAAAGCCTTTTACTTGTGAAACATGTGGCAACTGTTTTTTGCAGTTTGCAGGTTTACAGAGACACCTGCTAATTCATTCAGGAGAAAAGCCTTACATGTGTGACACATGTGGTAAAAGCTTTTTACAGTTGTCAAATTTAAAGAGTCACCATAGACATCATACTGGAGAAAAACCTTTCAAATGTGGCACATGTGGTAAAGGTTTCAAAGAATGTAGCAGTTTACTGAGACACCATAGAGTTCATACAGGAGAAAAGCCTTTCAAGTGTGACAAATGTGGTAAATATTTTACAGATTCATCAAACTTAACGAAACACTTAAGAAGAATTCATACTGGAATAAAACCATACAAGTGTGATACGTGTGGTAAATGTTTCACAGCATTTTGGGATTTAAAGAAACATGTTAAAATTCATTCAGGAGAAAAGCCCTACAATTGTGACAAATGTGGTAAATGGTTTAAGGATCGTGACTACTTAAAGAAACATGTTAAAATACATTCAGATTATAAGCCTTACAAGTGTGACAAATGTGGTAAAGGTTTCACAACAAGTCATTGTTTAAAAAACCACCTTAGATTTCACACAGGTGAATTACCTTACAGGTGTGACAATTGTGGTAAATCTTTTGTATTGAAGAGCACTCTACAGATCCACTCTACAATTCATACTAAACCTCATAAGTGTGACAAATGTGGCAAGCGCTTCATGGAGCTATTAAAGTTTCAGAAACACTGTAGAATTTATAGATGTGAAAAGCCATACAAGTGTGACAAATGTGGTAAATGTTTCACAACAAGTCATTTTTTAAACAACCACATTAGAATTCACACAGATGAATTACCGTACAGGTGTGACAAATGTGGTAAATCTTTTGCATTGAAGAGCAGTCTGCGGAACCACTTTATAATTCATGCTAAACGTCATAAGTGTGATAAAAGTGGTAGATTTTTCACACAAAGTAAAAGTTTACAGAAACACCAAGCAATTCATACTGGTGAAAAGCCTTTCATGTGTGAAAAATGTGGTAAATGTTTTGCACTCCTGACTTATTTACAGAAACACTGTAAAATTCATTTAGGAGAAAATCCTTACAACTGTAAGAAAGATGACAAGTTTTTCACTCACATTAAATCTGCACAGGAACACCAAAGAATCCATTCTGGTGAAAAGCCTTACATGTGTGACAAATGTGGTAAATGTTTTGTAAGGCTGACCAATTTACAGAACCACTGTAAAATTCATCTAGCAGAAAAGCCTTACATGTGTGATAAATGTGGAAAATGTTTTACATTCTCCTACATTTTACAGTCACACAATAGAATTCATACAGGTGAAAAGCCTCACAAGTGTAACACTTGTGGTAAATGTTTCACACTAGAATCAGGTTTAAAGAAGCATCAAAGACTTCATACTGGAGAAAAACCTTACAAATGTGCCAATTGTGGTAAATGTTCCAATAATTTAGCAGGTTTACAAAAACACCTTAAAACACATACAGGAAAAAAAAAATACTTGTGCATCATATGTGGTAAATGTTTATCAGACACTTACACTTTACAGAACCACCAAAACATTCATAAAAGAGAAAAGCCTTACAATTGTGACAAATGTGGTACTCGTTTTGCACTACAGAGTACTTTACAGAAACACCAACTTATACATGAGAAAACCCTTACAAATTGACAAAACACCTTAGAATTCATACAGGAGAGAAGCAAGTGTGACAAATGAGGTAAAAGTTTTTCTGATCTCAAAAATGATTCTTGCATGTCTTTTGGAGATAAGCATCACCTGAAGTGTCTTTTGATGTGCCCTGTATAGTGAATGACCTTTCTTTGTGAAATATTGTTAAAGATTAATTATTGTTTTCTGTTTGACTGTTAGCATTTTTTAAAAATTTAATTTCAAGGTTTTTCTTTGTTATTTTTTTGCTTAGTTTTGTTCAAGTTCAATTGAGAGAGTGTGTAGGTGCTTAGTACATTCTAGTAAATTAGTTTTAAACTAATATGTACTTAGTTAAAGTCAGCAAGGTAGAGCAATATTCAATTAAAATGGTAAATATACGGCTAGTTGAAAACATAGCTATTTGAGATAAATCCATGGTAAAATAAATGTGTGCACAATTATATTTCTTACCATTATTACTTTTTTACAATTCCACTTTTTCTAAGTGCTTATGAAAATATAAAGCAAAATATAGCGGTATTGTAAACATTTTTAAAACTTTGACCTACCTAGGTGTAGCTAAATGTATATTTAGCCTGTCTATAGCTACAGGACAAAATTTAGCAAACAATATATATGAAGTATTAAGGAAGCAATCAGATGAGCGGAATATTACATATATAGACTATTAGTTTTGTTGTCTCTAATAAAAATCTTTGCATACATTTTGTGTTCTGTTTGTTATTAATATCGTGAAGCTAAATAAATCTAATTAAATGTAACTAGTTTTAAGAATGATTATAAATTTTAAAATCTGAAAACTAAACTCATTTTAATTACAGCACATTAATGTTCAAGGCTCGTAAATCCTTACAATGTTGCATTATATAACTAGAAGTAATCCTTGGACCTAAGCTCAAGACTTTCAGCTTAGCAGACACCCTACCATTTTACTATGCCATAGAGTGGCAAATTATTGATCATTGTTTAATAAAAAAAATTAATAGTATGTAGACAACCAATGACTTAATGAATGCTATAGAAGTAAACATCTGTTGCAGTTTTCCCCGGGATTTTTTTTTTTGCATATAGATTATAGATTATTAAAAATATAAGTTATTAATAACATAAGAGAGGAATGAAATACATTAAAGATAATAGTAATATGGTGATGATACTGGTAGTAATGACAAAAAAATCTGCTGATAACTCTTGTAAAATCTGGAAAAAAAAGACAATAGTAACTAGTAAACAAGACAATCTTCAATGTCATGACAACCCAAGGCAACATGACAACCATACCCAGTATGACAACCAACGTGACAACTTTAGCTTAAATGACAACACTAACCAGTATGCAACTCTAGCCATCATGGCAACTCTAGGCAAATTGACAAATTCAACGACTTGACACACCTATTCAGCATGGAAACCCAAGCCATTATGACAACCCTAGACAATTTGAAAAACTAGGCTACATGACAAGCCTTGCCATCATAGCAAACTATTATTAATACTATTAATTTAACTACAATCTTTTATATAATTAAAACAGAAAAGGAAAATATAACACAACAACATTATGTTGCCTAGCAGAGTTTCTTCCAGGCATCTCTTCGGGGGGGCGAAGCCCCCCGACAAATTTTTACCGCCCCCCCCCCCCCCCCCCCCCCGAACGAAATGAAATTTATATAATTTATATAGAAAATATATACTTTTAACAGTGTCCGCCCCTCCCCCCCCCCCGAAGAAAGTTTACCGACCCCCGAAGATTTCAAGTGCCCCCCCCCCCCCCCCGGAGAAAAAAGTCTGGAAGAAACACTGTTGCCTAGTGTCTTGTAACCCAACATTGTGTGTCAATTAGCCGCAAGACAATTTTTAATTAACAGATTTTCTCCCATAATTTTTTTTTTTAAAGTGACATGAGAAAAAACGTGTAGCTGGTGTGTAATCAATATGTCGGGGCTTTGCACAGGATACACATAAGTGTCTCAAATCGAATAACACGCGAACATTTTTTAATGCTTACGTTTGCTTTGTTGAATTGAATTTTTTTCTTCATGAAATGGATAGGCCTACTTGCGACGATGAACAAGTGCTTACATTCCAACGAAAAACTGCTGAAGTAGCTGACACTACTTTTAAATCACTGCCTCTACATTACCCCCACCACCCCCAAAAAAAGAGCAGTAGGACAATAACCCTCCCCCCCCCCCCGAATCCAATCAATTACCCATCCGTCATTTAGAGAAAGAGATAGGGGGAGATTAAGAATGGATATGGAGTAGTAGGCCTATAGGTATGTGTAAGTACAGAAGCCGGTTCAGGTAAGAGTATGAATACGAATAGAAAAAATGAAATCGGATTGGGGAAGTGGTATAGAAAGGGATAGATTTATGATTGGTATAGTGATGAGTGTAGGTAAATGGCGAGGCGGTAAATATGTGAGAAGGGTGCGAAAACCGGCGGTTACTTGATATTTTTGTCTCGCATCTTACTCCCACCTGCTACTTGTCTGGGTGGGGATAAAATGCGAAGATGTCTGTGAAAAAACACTGCACCCAATTTATCATGAAATTTCATGCAGACGAAAGCAGAGGTGTAGGTAGGGCGGGTGGACTGGGAGCAGACCCAAAGGGGGCGCCAAAAGGGAAAGAAAAATCAATTTAAAAGATCGTTTTAAGCTGAGGTATCGAACGAGTTAATCGCAATTGTCCGTATGGAAATTGCGCTAAAAATTACATATTTCCAAAACCCGGGCAGCACCTGGTATCAGCTGCTAGTATTCATTGCAAGTTACATCCCTTTAAAGGAAATCGCCAGTCAAATTTCGAGTGAACAAAATGTATCGATTACCAAATGCTAATTTAATTTTAATTTATTATGAAAAATTTTGTAGATCAATAAAATGAAGGTTTAAAAAGAATTTTAATTGATAAATGTAAAAGCAGATAGTTAAGTAAAAGAATTCTTAAACAAATATACTGAACAAATTAACATTAGCTATTAACAACTTTATGGATTCGGTTTTCAATCTCACGTTTGCCTGGTTCCGAGTAGCGATCTAAACGTAGCGAGTACATTAGGCCTATCAGGCAAGTTGTGGCGCTGCTACACCGTTCAAATTTTTAAAACCATGCTAATAATAATTCTAATTAATTAAGATTAAAAATTAATAATCTCTGCAGCTGAAGTCTGTAGCTAAGGTTATTTTGTTATTAACATTATTTTATTAATATTAAAAGTATCACCCTTTCTCTAGTTCTAAAATCTAGGTTAATTAATTGATTTGATTAAACATAGAATCCTAGATCTAGATCTAGAGTCTAGAGATCTATTAAAGATTATTTATTTAAAGATTTCTAGAGCAGGACTACGGCCTAGTCTACATAAAATATTTAATTTATTTAATTAAATATTAGAATCTAGATCTAATCTAAAATATCAATAATAATTTAATTATAATTTAAGTTAGTAGAATAGATTATTTTATATAGACTCTAGAATAAATCAGTATTAAATCTAGATTGGTATAGAATAGAATAGATTATCATTATAGAATAGACACAATCTAGAATTTCTAGATCTAGTAATCTAGTTAGATCTATTTAGTAGTTAAGTACTAAGTAGTAGACTAGTTATATAGTAAGTATTTATTAAGTATAGTCAGACAATCTAGATTTCTAGGTGTCGATTCTAGTAGTATCTAGATCTAGTCTCTTGTGCTCTCAAACTCGAGATCTAATCTAGTTGGATGTACCTAGCCTAGATGTAACATAAATAAAATAATAAAACAGTCTAAATAATAAACAACTGTCTAGCAATAACAAACAACTGTGAATTTTTTAAATGTCAATACTTGATCTGTGAAAATACTTCACAATATATATTATATATATATTTATTTATTTATTTATACACACATTCTGTGTTGTATCTCAACATTGTATACCCAACAACTTGACATTAGACTTATGAATTATGAGCTTTCATGTGAATGATATGGTGAAAGCTATTTTTCAGTTGACTAGTATTAAACAGTATTCTGGTATTTTCAGGTGTAATTTGGTGACAGCTATGCCAGAGACTTGGGCATTTATTTACAGAGGGTTGGTGTTGTAAACAAGAACAGTTTAATCAAAATGGAGAGCAATGCTAGTGGTAAATCAATTTCATCAATTATTTAAAGTTTTGTTTGCAAGTTGAGTTTAATGACATTGATTGAAGCATTGTCTTGGTTCTTTACACCGGGTAAATTCATCCAGCACATACATCTTATCTATATTGCATATTATTATTTATACTGCATATAGAAAATGCATTGCAAACACTAAACATTCATTGTTGTAAGCTAATCAAAGTCATCATAGAATTTTCTTATTAAATTACACTATATAGCTTTGAAATGACCATTATACAATGTAAAAAACAAAAAGGAGGACTGTCCTTTTCTTAAAGCCATCAATAACAATGCAACAGCATAAAAAAAGTAGATCAAACAACAACTTAATCTTATCTCCATCATTTGATTTTTGTTCTTTAATCGTAGTTTTTAATGTAGTTCACTTGTTATGTCTGATGTCATTAATTTGTCATGATATCAGTAATCACTGTGTCCACTGTATCAATTACTCATCACTGTGTCCACTGTATCAATTGGTCATCTCTGTGTCCACTGTATCAATTGGTCATCTCTGTGTCCACTGTATCAGTCATCACTGTGTCCACTGTTGCAACAAGTCATCACTGTGTCCACTGTATCAATTAGTCATCTCTGTGTCCACTGTATCAATTAGTCATCTGTGTCCACTGTATCAATTGGTCATCTCTGTGTCCACTGTATCAATTAGTCATCTCTGTGTCCACTGTATCAACAAGTCATCTCTGTGTCCACTGTATCAATTAGTCATCACTGTGTCCACTGTATCAATTAGTCATCTCTGTGTCCACTGTATCAATTAGTCATCACTGTGTCCACTGTTGCAGCAAGTCATTACTGTGTCCACTGTTTGAAGTAGCCACTAGAAACATGATAAAATAAACACTTCATGCAGTAAAGGACTTTATATTTCAACTTACTATTACATGAATATTGGCATCACAGTATTATATATTAAACTTACAATAAAGTTAATTATCAACAAAGTTCAATTTAATAATATTATTTTACAGATCTCTATCCATGTCAATATTGCAAAGTGGCATTTTCAAAAGTTTCCTTTTTGAAGGCACATTTGAAATTCAAACATGGAGGAGAAGAAATTGCCAATTGGACTTTAGGTCTCACTTCTAAAAATAGTGAACATTCTTTCCAACCATCAAGTTTTCATCAACATCTTACAATTTTTATGAAAAAAAAGGCTTACAAGTGTGACAGATGTAATAAATGTTTTACAAAGCTTAGCCAATTGAAGAAACACCTTAGTAATAGCATAGAAAAAAAGACTCATAAGGGTGACACAGAAATTGGCCATTTAAAAAAACAGCTAAAAAATAATACTGTTGAAAAGCCTTACAAGTGTGACATATGTGGTAAATATTTTATAAAGCTTTACCAAATAAAGAAACACATTAAAACTCATACAGGATTAAAGCCTTATACTTGTGAAACATGTGGCAACTGTTTTTTGCAGTTTTCAAGTTTACAGAGACACCTTCTAATTCATTCAGGAGAAAAGCCTCACAGGTGTGACACATGTGGTAAAAGCTTCTTACAGTTTTCAAATTTAAAGAGTCACCATAGATATCATACTGGAGAAAAACCTTTCAAATGTGGCACATGTGGTAAAGGTTTCACAGAATGTAGCAGTTTACTGAGACACCATAGAGTTCATACAGGAGAAAAGCCTTTCAAGTGTGTCAAATGTGGTAAATATTTTACAGAATCATCAAACTTAACGAAACATTTAAGAATTCATGCTGGAATAAAAGCATACAAGTGTGATACGTGTGGTAAATGTTTCACAGCATTTTGGGATTTAAAGAAACATGTTAAAATTCATTCAGGAGAAAAGCCTTACAATTGTAACAAATGTGGTAAATGGTATAAGGATCATGACTACCTAAAGAAACATGTTAAAATACATTCAGATTATAAGCCTTACAAGTGTGACAACTGTGATAAAATTTTTTCACAGCTTACTTACTTAAAGATGCACCTTAGAAATCAAAACTTAGAAAAGACTTTCAAGTGTGACAAATGTGGTAAATGTTTCACAACAAGTCATTGTTTAAAAAACCACCTTAGATTTCACGCAGGTGAATTACCTTACAAGTGTGACAAATGTGTTAAATCTTTTGTATTGAAGAGCACTCTACAGATCCACTCTACAATTCATACTAAACCTCATAAGTGTGACAAATGTGGCAAACGCTTCATGGAGCTATTAAAGTTTCAGAAACACTGTGGAATTTATAGATGTGAAAAGCCATACAAGTGTGACAAATGTGGTAAATGTTTTACAACAAATCATTTTTTAAACAACCACATTAGAATTCACACAGATGAATTACCATACAAGTGTGACAAATGTGGTAAATCTTTTGCATTTAAGAGCAGTCTGAGGAACCACTTTATAATTCATGCTAAACGTCATGAGTGTGATAAATGTGGTAAATGTTTCATACAAAGTAAAAGTTTACAGAAACACCAAGCAATCCATACTGGTGAAAAGCCTTTCTTGTGTGAAAAGTGTGGTAAATGTTTTGCACTCCTGACCTATTTACAGAACCACTGTAAAATTCATTTAGGAGAAAAGCCTTACAACTGTAAGAAAGGTGATAAGTTTTTCACTCACATTAAATCTGTACAGGAACACCATAGAATCCATTCTGGTGAAAAGCCTTACATGTGTGATAAATGTGGAAAATGTTTTACATTCTCCTACATTTTACAGTCACACAATAGAATTCATACAGGTGAAAAGCCTCACAAGTGTAACACTTGTGGTAAATGTTTCACACTAGAATCAGGTTTAAAGAAGCATCAAAGACTTCATACTGGAGAAAAACCTTACAAATGTGCCAATTGTGGTAAATGTTCCAATAATTTAGCAGGTTTACAAAAACACCTTAAAACACATACAGGAAAAAAAAAATACTTGTGCATCATATGTGGTAAATGTTTATCAGACACTTACACTTTACAGAACCACCAAAACATTCATAAAAGAGAAAAGCCTTACAATTGTGACAAATGTGGTACTTGTTTTGCACTACAGAGTACTTTACAGAAACACCAACTCATACATGAGAAAACCCTTACAAATTGACAAAACACCTTAGAATTCATACAGGAGAGAAGCAAGTGTGACAAATGAGGTAAAAGTTTTTCTGATCTCAAAAATGATTCTTGCATGTCTTTTGGAGATAAGCATCACCTGAAGTGTCTTTTGATGTGCCCTGTATAGTGAATGACCTTTCTTTGTGAAATATTGTTAAAGATTAATTATTGTTTTCTGTTTGACTGTTAGCATTTTTAAAAAATTTAATTTCAAGGTTTTTCTTTGTTATTTTTTTGCTTAGTTTTGTTCAAGTTCAATTGAGAGAGTGTGTAGGTGCTTAGTACATTCTAGTAAATTAGTTTTAAACTAATATGTACTTAGTTAAAGTCAGCAAGGTAGAGCAATATTCAATTAAAATGGTAAATATACGGCTAGTTGAAAACATAGCTATTTGAGATAAATCCATGGTAAAATAAATGTGTGCACAATTATATTTCTTACCATTATTACTTTTTTACAATTCCACTTTTTCTAAGTGCTTATGAAAATATAAAGCAAAATATAGCAGTATTGTAAACCTTTTTAAAACTTTGACCTACCTAGGTGTAGCTAAATGTATATTTAGCCTGTCTATAGCTACAGGACAAAATTTAGCAAACAATATATATGAAGTATTAAGGAAGCAATCAGATGAGCGGAATATTACATATATAGACTATTAGTTTTGTTGTCTCTAATAAAAATCTTTGCATACATTTTGTGTTCTGTTTGTTATTAATATCGTGAAGTTAAATAAATCTTATTAAATGTAACTAGTTTTAAGAATGATTATAAATTTTTAAAATCTGAAAACTAAACTCTTTTTAATTACAGCACATTAATGGTCATGGTTCGTAAATCCTTACAATGTTGCATTATATAACTAAAAGTATAAGCAAAATCCTACGCCCTGCTTGTTCAAGACTAGTGTCCCCTTGTAAAGAAAGTAAAATAAAGTTCCCCTGGCAACCCACAGGGCAGGTGAAGGATAGTTCACCAGTTTCAGTGACCTCAGCATATGAAGGGATAGTGTGGTCAGCGGCGGGGGGTGCGGACCGCACCGGGTGACACCAAGGCAAAGAATAGCAAAATATATAGAGGAAAAGTTGAGGGGGGCGGTGGAAATTGAAAGTTTGTCCTCGGGAAGGGTCTCTACGCCTTGGGGGGGGGGGGGGGGGGTGACACCCGACCTCGCTACGCCACTGGTCAGCGGTCGTCGTCGACAGCCCTGGGAAACACGCCAACCCCAGCAGATTGACACGCCAACATAGCAACCAGCTGAAACTTAAAGGAGCTCTTGATTAGGGCCTTTATTTTTTAAAATAACATTGTGCTGTAGTTGCGCCACATATGCATACATATATAATTTCATCAGGGAAGAGAAATACTATTAATTTAACTACAACCTTTTATATAATTAAAACAGAAAAGGAAAATAAAACACAACTTGTAACCCAAAATTGTGTGTCACCTTGCTGCAAGACAATTTTTAATTAATAGATTTTCTCCTAAAAAAAAAATTTAAGTGACCTAAGAACAAACGTTTAGCTGGTGCGTAACCAATATGTACAGGATGAACATAAGTGCCTCAAATCGAATACGCGAAGATTTTTTTAATGCTTAGGTTTGCTTTGCTGAATTGATTTTTTTTTTCTTCATGAAATGGATAGGCTTACTTGCGGCAACGAACAAGTGCTTGCATTCCAACGAGAAACTGCTAAAGTGGCTTACACCCCTTTTAAGTCACCGCCTGTACATAACCCCCGCCCCCAAATAACAGCAGTAGGACAATACCCCCCCCCCCCCCTCCCAATCCTATCAATTACTTACCCGTCATCTAGAGAAAGAGATAGGGGTAGGGGGGATTAATAATGAGTAAGAAATAATATAGGTATGTGTAAGTACAGGAGCCGGTTCGGGTATAAGCAGAGGCGTAGCGATTGGGGGGGGGGGGGGGCAGGGGGGCCTATGTCCTAGGGCGCCGACCTTAGGGAGCGCCAAAAGGGAAAGAAAAATAGGGGTCGGCGTGGTCGAGTCGGTAAAGCTCATGGTTGCTAAACCGAAAAGTCTCGAGTTCGAACCCTCGGGCAGAGGAGGCTCGTTAGCTGGGGACAGCCACTCCTCTAGGAGAGACAACTCCAAAATCAAACAACTGCTATCTTGTAGTTTGTTCTTGGTTGGACAAAGGCTATGGAAGCAAATCCAAAAAGAAAAGCATGCTGAAATCGGAGTCAATGGCCTCAATGGCGCATAACCAGTTGACACGTAACGCTTAATTGTGTTGGAGGCGTGATCGAGTCGGCAAAAAGCTCATGGTTGATAAATTCGAACAAAGTCTCGTGTTCAAACCCACTGGCAGATAAATCTCGATCCCCTTCAACATTAATAATTAAGAACGAAGAAGAAAAAGAAGAAGGAAAGAAAAATCAATTTAAAAGCTCGATTTAAGATGAAGTAACGAATTATACATAGTCAAAGTTACGAAAATAAACGACTACAAGGTTTTACACACTGATTTAACAGGTTTTTTAAATTAATTTTGAGGCACTGAAATAGCAATTGTTAAAATTGTAGAATCTAGATAAACTTCTTTCTTTCGTGTGGAATACTAAAGCCGCCCGATATATCGCCTTCGAGCATCACCGCTGCCGCCACAAGCAGAAACTTATTGTATGGTAGCAAAGAAATACTAGATTTTCGATATTATTAATATTATGGCCGCCAACGATTTATTTTTTATCGCATGGGCCCGGTGTCGTCACTAGGTGTCACTCGGTTAAGGATAGGAATGTATTAGCCTTACAATGCCTTACATTAACAAGGTTGGGGGTCAAGTTTATGCTTACTGTTCGAGTTAGTGTTAATATATAATATTATAAATGCCTATTTTCTAACGCATCCAACATTTAATTTTTTAAAAATTATATATTTCTAAAACCCAGACTGCACCGGGTATCAGCTGCTACTATTTATTGTAAGTTACATCCCTTTAAAGGAAATCGCCAGTCAAATTTCGAGTGAACAAAATGTATCGATTACCAAGGCTAATTTAATTTTAATTTATTATGAAAAATTTTGTAGATCAATAAAATGAAGGTTTAAAAAGAATTTTAATTGATAAATGTAAAAGCAGATAGTTAAGTAAAATAATTCTTAAACAAATATACTGAACAAATTAACATTTTCTATTAATAACTTTATGGATTCGGTTTTCAATCTCACGTTTGCCTGGTTCCGAGTAGCGATCTAAACGTAGCGAGTACATTATCAATCAGACAAGTTGTGGCGCTGCTACACCGTTCAAATTTTTAAAACTATGCTAGATCTATAATAATTCTAAGTAAGATTAAACATTAGATCTAATAATCTCCGCAGCTGAAGTCTGTAGCTCAGGTTATTTTGTTATTAACATTATTTTATTAATAATAATATCACCCTTTCTCTAGTTATAAAATCTAGATTCTAGATTAATTTGATTTGATTAAATATTAGCGAGGCTCACTAACTTGAAAGCGTCTCTGGTTGCTAACAACAACATGGCGTCCTACACCGGACGCTTAGTTTCGGACATTTTTCTTGTCTGCCCAAGTGACTTTCTAGGAATTCGTTTTTAAAATGTTTACCTCGTGAAAAATGGCGGTTTTTTCACATAATGTAAACAAACTATAAATGGCAGTGCTAAATATGCCAGAGAAACGCTATAAATTGCTTTGGATAATGAAGACCGAAGCTCAAAAAGTGGTGCCGACAAACATTCGTAGATCTTTTTAAATATTAGCTTCTACGATGTAGATCGGAAACCGAAAGTACATCAATATTAGATTTAGCAGTCTGTGTAAAAATAAATCGAATATTACATGCGCTAATTTTTAAAAAAATTCTCCAAAACGGTCAACACCAAAAGTAAAAATTCCATAACCCACGTGACCGCTATTGGGCGGGAGACGTTTGCCTAGGTGGCTCTATCGACTCTTTACTACGTTTGTGTTGTTATTTATGTTGACAAGCGTTAAGTGAATATTTTCCAATTTTGATTTTTACATTGCTGGACAAATTAATTAAGTATTTCGATCTGAACATGGGAAGATAGGAATTAGTTGGTATTTCTGTAAAAGCCCGTAAACCGGTGATCTCGTGGTGAAACGCGATCTCGATACGTCTAGTAAAGTCTAGGTGCTAAATTATTTACTTGATTTTATTATTACTAATTACGACTTGATCGAATTATAGTTAATATTATTTTCATTTGCTTTCATTTTTTATATAATTGATTATTATGATTTAGATCCAGAAGGACTAGGCTAATAAATTATAATAATCATATTAGAGGACAGCCTGCATAAACAAAAGTTGATCTAGATCTAGTTGACACAGTACTTGGACTTGCGCACACGCTCGCGTGACGAAAGAACGCAAGCGGGCTCGTGACGAATTTGCATAATTTTTCACTCACAAGTGATCAACGTTAATGTGATAGGCGTAGCCTAACAATCTTTAAATAGATCTAGACACCAGCTCTAGATACAAATTTAAGTATTAAAACTCCGCCTGGATATGTCTAGCTTCGGACGGGCGATGTTTCTCTCGTTGACAAAACAACGCGAGCGAGCCGTCACTACGCACAGCCTATGAGTGGCGATGTTTGGAATGCATTTCTCGCTCACATGTGATGAAATTTAATGCAACGACAGTTTTAAAAATAAAAACAGATATTTTATTATGTCTATATAGATCTACTTTTTTTTAATATTTAAAACTCAGCCTGGACAAAGCTTCCATGCTGGATAAGGGAGGAGGGTTAGATTCCGCCGTTAACTCAATCTATTATTATTAGGCCTAATTGTCCTAATTAAACATTCCTATTTACACTGATTAATCAAGACTGAATAAAAGTGAAAATGAATACCTTTAAAAAGTTTAGATCTATATATTTTTAAACATTTATACGTGATTTTTTTGGTTCATTCCTTTGGCGTTTACTAGAAATACAGTAAATAGATTACATAACCAAGTTACGAGTATCCTTTCGATTTCGTTTTATTGCAGCATACCTCCACTTCCCCCTCCCCACACATGATCCTTACGAACCTCCTTGGTCGTTTTCAGGTCAACTTTAGGAACCAGATCTTTGAATGGTTGTCATGGAAAAATCTTTCCCAGCTAAGCTGTATGGCACCAATAATTAAAATCATGTATTTTAGTTCAAAATGAGCTAAAATCATCAAATGTAGTGCCTGGTTAGTTAGAGAAATATCTCTAGCTTTTATTGGTATTGGTTAAAAAAATAAATAATTAAAATTAAGATTTAGTGAGCCTCGCTATTAAATATTTAAAAAGATTCTAGATCTAGATCTAGATCTATATTAGATCTAGATCTAGATTCTAGAATTCTAGATCTAGATCTAGAATATCTAGATCTAGATCAATCTAGAGTTTCTACTTCTAGGACTTTGAGACTAGATCTAGATTAATCTAGAATAGATCTACGACCTTCATGACTAGATCTAGATTGATGTACATGAAATATTTAATAAATTATTAATAATATTAATGTAAAATATACAAAATAATGTAATTTTATAAATTAGGTTAGTAGCGTTTATTAATATAATATTATTTTATAGAAAGATTCTAGAATAAATCTAGATTGGTATAGAATAGACAAAATCTAGAATTTCTATATCTAGTAATTTAAGTAATCTAGTTAAGCCTAGGTAGCTCACTAAGTAGACCTAGTAGTAAAATAGTAAGTTAAGTATAGTCAGACAATCAAGATTTCTTCTGGTCGATTCTAGTATCTAGTCTCTTGTGCTCTCAAACTCAAGATCTAAACTAGTTAGATGTATCTAGACGAAATTGAAATTAATTAATATAATAGTATAAATAATAAACAACTGTCTAGCAATATCAAACAAATGTGAATTTAAATACTAGATCTGTGAAAATACTTCACAATATAGATCTATATATAAATATATATATATAGGTATGTATGTATATATACACACATACACACACATTCTGTGTGGTACCAAAACACACTCGTGCCCAACAACTTGACATAAGACTTTTGAATTACGAGCTTTCATGTGAATGATATGGTGAAAGCTATTTTTCAGTTGACTAGTATAAAACAGTATTCTGACATTTTCAGGTATAATTTGGTGACAGCCATGCCAGAGACTTGTGCATTTATTTACAGAGGGTTGGTGTTGTAAACAAGAACAGTTTGATCAAAATGGAGAGCAATGCTGGTGGTAAATCAATTTAATCAATTATTTAAAGTTTTGTATGCAAGGAGAGTTTGAGGTGATCAATGTCATTGATTGAAGCATTGTCTTGGTTCTTTACTCTGGGCAAATTCATCCAGCATATACATCTTATCTGGGGTGTGGCATAAGATCTTTAGCTTTATTTACAGAATTAAGTTAGGAATGAAATTTTGTCTTAAACAATGTGTTGTTATATTGCTTTTGGCACAATTAAAGCAAATGTTGAAGATAATTTAGTTTTGTTAATTTTTAATGGCCCAAATTTATATTGCTACTTATAAATACTGTCAGGAATGTAGGACATTTTTACCAAAAAAATTTTTTTTTTACAAATTAGGAATAAACTGTAAAATTTATTAACTACTATCATGGCAATATTAATAACAATCATTTTTATAATTTTCACACATAAACACAAAAGTATATTTTGAGTATGGTTTTAAACAGTATTTTCTATGGGAACACAACTTAGACCTTCTTTTGAATGTACCAAACACAGAAAAAAGTGCCGATATGTCCTATTGCCCATCATCTGATTTTGTCTAAGAAGACTAAAACAATTAAAAACTATATTTGTTTACCTTTAATTTGGTTCTAACTTTAATTATCAGAATTCATCAATAGCCTAGGAAATTATTTTTTTTTAAAGTTTTTTTTTTTAATGGCTATGATACTGATATGATAATTTTTAAGCTGTGTTATTGTGACACATTAGAACGTTCAACAATCAAATACATGGTGGGCTAAATAGCGGGCTTTGTGTTGGCTGTTGCCTCTGTCAAGTTATTATTTTCACTTATTTGTTTTTCAGGGTCAAATATATTTTTAATGATTAAATTTAATCTATTACAACAGGGTACCTAATTTTTTATCTGTTGACAAAGCTTATAGAATGTACATTATCTTCAGCTACCTTTTACTCAGCAAAATGAATAAATATACTGCATATGAAAAATGCATTGCAAACACTAAACATTGTTGTAAGCTAATCAAAGGCATTGTAGAATTTTCTCATTAAAGTAATTACAATATTATAGCGTTGAAATGGCCGTTATACAATGTAAAAAACAAAAAGGAGGACTGTTCTTTTCTTAAAGCCATCAATAACAATGCAACAGCATAAAAAAAAGTAGATCAAACAACAACTTAATCTTATCTCCTTGATTTGATTTTTGTTCTTTAATTGTAGTTTTTATGTAGTTCACTTGTTATGTCTGATGTCATTAATGTGTCACAATATCAGTCATCACTGTGTCCACTGTATCAATTACTCATCTCTGTGTCCACTTTATCAATTGATTGGTCATCTCTGTGCCCACTGTATCAATTGGTCATCACTGTGTCCACTGTTTGAAGTAGCCACTAGAAACATGATAAAATAAACACTTCATGCAGTAAAGGACTTTATATTTCAACTTACTATTACATGAATATTGGCATCACAGTATTATATATTAAACTTACAATAAAGTTAATTATCAACAAAGTTCAATTCAATAATATTATTTTACAGATCTCTATCCATGTCAATATTGCAAAGTGGCATTTTCAAATGTTTCCTTTTTGAAGGCACATTTGAAATTCAAACATGGAGGAGAAGAAATAGCCAATTGGAGTCTAGGTCTCACTTCTAAGAATAGTGAACATTCTTTCCAATCATCAAGTTTTCATCAACATCTTACAATTTTTATGAAAAAAAAGGCTTACAAGTGTGACAGATGTAAGAAATGTTTTACAAAGCTTAGTCAATTGAAGAAACACCTTAGAAACAGCATAGAAAAAAAGACTCATAAGGGTGACACAGAAATTAGCCATTTAAAAAATAATACTGTTGAAAAGCCTTACAAGTGTGAAATATGTTGTAACTATTTTATGAAGCTATATCAAATAAAGAAACACATTGAAACTCATACAGGATTAAAGCCTTATACTTGTGACACATGTGGCAAATGTTTTTTGCAGTTTTCATGTTTACAGAGACACCTTCTAATTCATTCAGGAGAAAAGCCTCACAAGTGTGACACATGTGGTAAAAGCTTCTTTCAGTTGTCAAATTTAAAGAGTCACCATAGACATCATACTGGAGAAAAACCTTACAAATGTGGCACATGTGGTAAAGGTTTCACAGAATGTAGCAGTTTACTGAGACACCATAGAGTTCATACAGGAGAAAAGCCTTTCAAGTGTGACAAATGTGGTAAATATTTTACAGATTCATCACACTTAACGAAACACTTAAGAATTCATACTGGAATAAAACCATACAAGTGTGATACATGTGGTAAATGTTTCACAGAATTTTGGGATTTAAAGAGACACCTTAAAATTCATACAGGAGAAAAGCCTTACAATTGTGACAAATGTGGTAAATGGTTTCAGAGTCGTGAATATTTAAAGAAACATGTTAAAATACATTCAGGTGATAAGCCTTACAAGTGTGACAACTGTGATAAAAGTTTTTCACAGCCTGCTTACTTAAAGATACACCTTAGAAATCAAAACTTAGGAAAGACTTACAAGTGTGACAAATGTGGTAAATGTTTCACAACAAGTCAATCTTTAAACAACCACCTTAGATTTCACACAGGTGAATTACCTTACAGTTGTGACAAATGTGGTAAATCTTTTGCATTGAAGAGCACTCTACAGATCCATTCTACAATTCATACTAAACCTCATAAGTGTGACAAATGTGGCAAATGCTTCATGGAGCTATTAAAGTTTCAGAAACACTGTGGAATTTATAGATGTGAAAAGCCATACAAGTGTGACAAATGTGGTAAATGTTTCACAACAAGTCAATTTTTAAACAACCACATTAGAATTCACACAGATGAATTACCGTACAGGTGTGACAAATGTGGTAAATCTTTTGCATTGAAGAGCAGTCTGCTGAACCACTTTATAATTCATGCTAAACGTCATAAGTGTGGTAAATGTGGTAAATGTTTCACACAAAGTAAAAGTTTACAGAAACACCAAGCAATCCATACTGGTGAAAAGCCTTTCATGTGTGAAAAATGTGGTAAATGTTTTATACTCCTGACCTATCTACAGAACCACTTTAAAATTCATTTAGGAGAAAATCCTTACAACTGTAAGAAAGGTGATAAGTTTTTCACTCACATTAAATCTGTACAGGAACACCATAGAATCCATTCTGGTGAAAAGCCTTACATGTGTGACAAATGTGGTAAATCTTTTGTAAGGCTGACCAATTTACAGAACCACTGTAAAATTCATCTAGCAGAAAAGCCTTACATGTGTGACAAATGTGGTAAATCTTTTGTAAGGCTGACCAATTTACAGAACCACTGTAAAATTCATATAGCAGAAAAGCCTTACATGTGTGATAAATGTGGAAAATGTTTTGCATTCTCCTACATTTTACAGTCACACAATAGAATTCATACAGGAGAAAAGCCTCACACATGAATCAGGTTTAAAGAAGCATCAAAGAATTCATACTGGAGAAAAACCTTACAAGTGTGTCAATTGCGATAAATGTTTTACACATGACTCAGGTTTAAAGAAGCATCAAAGAATATATGCAGGAGAAAAAACCTTACAAATGTGTCATTTGTGGTAAATGTTTCACACAGCTTACAGATCTAATTCATTCAGGAGCAAAAAACCTTACAAGTTTGACAAATGTGGTAGATGTTTCTAATTCATTCAGGAGCAAAAAACCTTACAAGTTTGACAAATGTGGTAGATGTTTCTCTCAGGCTTACTGTTTAGCGAGACATCATAGAATTCATACTAATGAAAACCTTACAATTATAGCAAATCATTTTGGGATCTTGGCTACTTAACAAAACACAATTTATACAGAACAAAAACCAGTGTGTTAAATAAGGTGAAAGCTTTCTGATCTTTCACATTTCTCCAACCAGCAAAGAGAGCCCACAACTGAAATTATCTGTGTGAGATAAGCATTACCTGAAGTGTCATCTGATGTGCCCTGTATAGTGAATGACCTTTTTTAATCTAGTTTCACTGTTCAAATTTTAATTCTTGTTATTTGTTTGACTTTTACTGTTAGCAATTAAATTTTTTTCTTAAAAATCATGCTTTTCTTTGTTCATTTATTCAGTTGAGTTAGTATGTAGGTGCTTAGTACTCTCTGGTCACTTCTAATACAAGTTTTTGTTAAATTGAAGGTGTTGTAACAAGTTGTATTTTAACTTTTTTAATGTCCAACTATTTGTTTAAAATCCCAGTAAGAACTGCAACAGATGTAGACTGCATATACAATTCTACTACTTCAGTAGTTGGATATTTCCTTGTATAACTATAACGTTCATTAAGTCAATGGTTGTCTATTTACTATACAATTTTTAAAAAAAAAATTTTTTTTAAATAATGATCAATAATTTGCCACTCTTTGAAATAGTACAATGGTAGAATGTTCGTCTGCTAAGCTGAAAGTCTTTAGTTTGGGTCCAAGATTAATGGTAACGTTTGTCTGCTAAGGGAGGTCATGTATAAGTGACGTCACGCTTTTTTGGGACGATTTTTTACCTCCTCTTCCCCCCCCCCCCCTTGTCACAAAAAGGACTTAGTTATATTGTCTCTAATAGAAATCTTAGCATTGGTTTTGTATTCTGTTAGTTATCAATATCATGAAGCTAAATAAATTAAATTTAAATATAACTAGTTTTATAGAAATCATATAATAAAACTCTAGGCAGGGACGTGAACTAAGGACTTACAGCTTAAGGGGCGTGCATAAATGACATCACACTCGTAGGGGGATGGGGATTCGTAATTTTGTGATGGTGGGCGGGGTTCAAATGGCATTGTAAAAAAACAATGTTAGTATTGTTAGAAAACGAGGTTTTTTTAGCCGTTATTTCACGTTTTAGAAAACTTTAAATTAAGTGTAACATGAGTCGATAAAAATACTCTATGTTGACTGAGTTCAGATAAGCTTCTGGAAAAATATCGATGTTTTAAGAAAAAATTGCAATTTTGAGTGGGGTTGTAGGTTGACGTACGACGTTATTTTAGGTGAGGGTCTGGCTTTTTTACTGATCGGATAGCGATTCAAGAATCCGTGATATTTATTTCTCTTTAATACAGTGATCAAGGCAAGGTGTAAGGCTATCAAGTAAAAGTATCTTTCTTTCAAGTGGAAGTCGAGAGAATCGTAAGAATCTATGGTCAAAGCCCCGCTGTGGTCATAACCCCTATGCTCAAAACAGTGGCGTAGCGAGGTCGGTGCGGCACCTAATGGTGTCACCCCCATCCCATAAGTAATATATATATATATATATATATATATATATATATATATATATATATATATATATATATTCCATATACACTTGTAAGTATGTGTATACGCATGTGTATATGTATTGAAATATTTTTTTTCTTCTGGATGTATTTGATTTTTTTTTTACACCCCCTCACCCTATATACACGGAGTAACATAGGTTATTACAATTCTCAACCAACCCCTTTTTCCTCAGGGATATATATATATATATTGCAACGTTGAGTTAATGTAACTCACTGCCCCCCCCCCCCCCCCCCAGTCACCCCCACGGTGATTGCTTTAAACTGTGCTCAGATAATACTAACAATTTGTACCTATATTCGGTTATAAATTCAGCTGGATATTGCATGTTTTCTTAGCCGGTTTACGTCATAGTGTGTGTGTCGTCGTCGTCCCCCCCCCCCCCCCCCCTTCCCCGTCGGGATTTGTCCTCTTTGCTCTTAAAAGACTATTTAATTCACTCTAATTAATCATTTAATTAAGTGAAAGCCCCTCTGTGGTCAAAGCATCTAAGGTCCGCACACCGTTTTTGCCAGTTACTGTTTCTAAAGGGTACATGTTCACAGTTACATTATCAAGGTAGAAAAGAGTTAAATAGGTATGTAAAGGCGTGTAGCCATTACAATTCACACCTTTTGGCGCTGCCTAGGGGCAACACTGAGTATCTGCTGCTAGTAGTCATTAATATAATATTTATATCCATTTTAAAGTCAAGGAAATCGGCAGTACAATTTCGAGTGAACAATAAGTATCGATTACCAAATGCCAATGTAATTTTAATTTATTAAGACACGTTTTATAGACCCATATTATAAAGGTTTAAAAAGTTTTTAACTTGATAAACATAAAAACAGATGGCTAATTATAGGGCCTAATTAAAAGAATTCTTAAATAAATATACTGAACAAATTAACATTTTCTGTCGATAGATTTACGGATTCGGTCAAGAATCTCACGTTTGCCATCGTTCCGAGTTGCGATCTAAACGTAGCGAGTACATAATCAGGCAAGTTATGGCGCTTCTACAACGTTCAAAATGTTTATACCACTATAATAAATTAATAATTAATATTAATTAATATAAATCTCCGCAGCTGAAGTTTGTAGCCAAGAATCTAATCTATTCTTCGGTGATTGTTACTCGTATTTATTAAATATCTAGAAAATATACGTCTACTAAAACTAAAAGAAGTGAACACAAATTATAAATTGGATCAAGTGACCAAGATATCAGATCTAGATCTAGATCTAGATTCTAGTCAAAATCTAGAATTCTAGATCTAGATCTAGATCTACAATTCTAGTTCTAGAATCTAGATCTAGGTTAGACTAGATTCATCAGTCTACAATCTAGTCTAAGTCTACACACAACTACGGGGTAAACTACTGTACTTAAATTAGCTAGATTAAGATAAGGTCTTGATCTATATTTTAGACCTACGCTAGTCTAGATTTAGTAAGAATGTCTAGATTTAGCCTAGCTTCAAGTCTAGATCTAGATTTAAATGTCATAAAATTATGGCCAAGGCTATTCCCAGCCGGTTGGGAATAGCCGTATTGGGGCTATTCCCAGCCGACTGTGAATAGCCCCAATACGGCTATTCGCAGTCGGCTGTCATTTCATGCTAAATACGACTGTGAATAATATCTTAAAATAATAAAAGCATTTATTGTGACTGGGGAATGAGGTATAGATTAAGAGAGCAGTGCTATTTTTATTTTGTTATAAAAAAGTTATTACAATTAAAGTTTAGTTTAGCTTTTAGGCTCATATCAGACATCTGCTACAGGCTACGTAGGTCATAGATGCTCAATTATGCACTCTAGATCTATACACTAGAATATAATCAGCTATAATTCACAGTTTCCATCACACTTTTGTGTTTTTTCCTCTCTTTTTATTTAATTTTTTTTTTTTTTTTGCTGATATGCCAACAATAACGTCACAAAAAAATTAACATAAGTAACTGAAAAAAATATTTTGATATTACGAATGAAATACATAGATTAAGAGTTATAGAAATAGGGCATCTGATGGATTTGAACCCACACCTTCTGGCACGGCAGCCACTCCCAATGACCGCTCGACCACACTTCTTCATGCCTAGTTGGGTATTTTTAACATTAAATCTATCAAAAACGGTAACGTGAATACGACTGTGAATAGCCCCAATACGGCTATTCACAGTCGACTGTGAATAGACACTTCGTAAAATTATTGCTGTTTTTTAACTTAGACCTCTATAGCTTTATCAAAATGAATTAAATTTTTAAAATAAATATAAGTCATAAGTTAGTAGAATAGATTCAAATAGATTTCATTATATAAGATCTAGATTTAATATAGATTCTCGATCTAGTATTAACTTAATTAAGAATAGATAGATTACTATAGACCAGGGGTCGACAACCTATTGAGCCGGAAGAGCCAAAAGTTAAAATTTATAAAAAGTTTTCAAGAGACACTAACATTCTTTTTAATATTATGGTATTGATAAATTAGGTAAACACATTTTTTAAAAATTAGTTCAAGTATGAAATAATATTTATCCATATAAAAACACGTGTGCTTTGCACACAACAGATTAAAATATTTTATCTAGGTCTGCTTGGATAATAAAATTAAATTATATAGCCTAACTATAACACCATCCCTGCCCAATTTAGAAGCTAATAACTAAAACAAACTATGTCCCTCATGTCAAATGAATGCACACTGACACATTAAAAAATGCCTTCTGAATAAAATAATTATTATTTAAAATATGCAGGAAAAAAAGGGCACTTCGGTAGTGGAAAGCATGGAACTACTGCCACGTGGCTGGCCACAGCACAGTTGTGGAGCTGGGCCTTGTGCTTAAGCAGCATTCTGTATATGATGTACTCCACCTATTCTTAGTGTTTTTATCATATTTAAAGTTTTTTTTTTTCAAGTTTAATACTTTTATGAGTTATGAAAATAAAATAATATAATATTTATGGAACTGGCGAGCCACATCCTGACATCAAAAGAGCAGCAGGTTTCCGATAGACAGTATCTTGACTTGATCTAGTTAAATAGTAGTAGTACTAGTAGTAGGCCTGTCTATAATTAGACAATCTAAAGTTCTGGGTCTCGTTCTAAATGCTAGTGACAATCTAGTCTATTTTACTCTCTAGAATATACAGATCTAATCTTGTTAGATGTAGCTAGACAAAATAGAAATAAATAAATATATTAGTTTAAATAATGAACAAATGTCTAGCCAGATCAAACAACTAGTAATTTTTTTTTAAGTTGACATGATTAGGACAGTTAGTCCTGTCTTTTCAATGGATAAATCAAAGATCTAAATCTAGTCATTAAAAACCTAAATTTTTAAAACTATGGATTAAACAGATAAATAGAATAAAAACTTGCAAGCACAGAACATTTGGTAATCATCTGATATAGCTTTGGTTATCATTCCCAAATGATGTAGCAACAATAAAATATTTATAACAGTGGACAGTCTGCCACCACATTCTGGAATATACTGAAATAACTGTAAATCATAATTTATTTGGCGAGATCTTTTAGTAATAGTTTAAATTACAAATTTGGATATATACATACATATATATATATATATATATATATATATATATATATATATATATATATATATATATATATATATATATATATATATATATATATATATATATATATATGTAAAGATGTTTTGCTAATTTTCTGGTGATAATGATTTTTAAATTTTTAATGTTTCTGGTAATTATTAATGCTAAACAACTTTTCCTAATCATTGATGTAGTCTTTTTTACTATTTTAATAAACATTTTTTACTAGATCTAGGTTAATTCTAATTGTTGCAAATTTTCTGCAAATTTTATTTCTGTGCTTCTTTAAAATATGAATTGCTACACTTGACTTTTGTAGCACATAGTTTTAATTTCTGTTTCCATGTGTAAATTGATCTTAATGTATATTTTTGAAATACAAAACCATCATGTAAATAATATAGTGACAGCAATGTTGCAGTTGACTAGTATAAAACAGTATTCTGACATTTTCAGGTATAATTTGGTGACAGCTATGCCAGAGACTTGGGCATTTATTTACAGAGGGTTGGTGTTGTAAACAAGAACAGTTTGATCAAAATGGAGAGCAATACTGGTGGTAAATCAATTTTATCAATAATTTAAAGCTTTGTATGTAAGCAGAGTTTGGGTTGATCAATGACTGTGTTTGATGAATACTCTTGTTGATTACACTGGTTCATCCAGCACATCTAGGGTGTTGCATAACATTTTTAGCTTTATTATTAATTAAGGTGATTAAAACAATAAAAAACTACATTTATTTACCTTTAACATTCATTTTTATAAGCTAATCAGGGTCATCATAGAATTTATTCATTAAACTAATTACACTAGACTATATAGCTTTGAAAGGAGCGCCATATGTTGTAAAGAACAAAAAGGTAGATTGTTCTTTTCTGGCAGTCATCAATACCAATGCAACAGCATTAAAAAGTAGTTCAAACAAAAACCTAATCTTATCTCCATCATTTAATTTTTGGTCTTAATTATAGTTTTTATTTAGTTCACTTGTCATGTCTCACTCATGTCATTACTGTGTCAACATATTAATCACCAGTGTGTCCACTATATCAGCAATCACTGTTTTGCTGTACCATTTAGTCATCACTCTGTCCTCTGTAGAATTTAGTCATCACTACTGTACCATTTAGTCATCACTGTGTCCTCTGTACCATTTAGTCATCACTATGTCCTCTGTACCATTTAGTCATCACTATGTCCTCTGTACAATTTAGTCATCACTATGTCCTCTGTACCATTTAGTCATCACTATGTCCTCTGTACCATTTAGTCATCACTATGTCCTCTGTACCATTTAGTCATCACTGTGTCCTCTGTACCATTTAGTCATCACTGTGTCCACTGTACCATTTAGTCATCACTATGTCCTCTGTACCATTTAGTCATCACTATGTCCTCTGTACCATTTAGTCATCACTATGTCCTCTGTACCATTTAGTCATCACTATGTCCTCTGTACCATTTAGTCATCACTATGTCCTCTGTACCATTTAGTCATCACTCTGTCCAATTTATCAGTCATCAATGTAGCCACTATATTAGTCATCAGTGTGTCCACTGTAGCAGTTAGTCATCACTGTACCCAATGTATCAGTTATCTCTGTGTTCACTGTTTTAAGTAGTCACAAAAACCATGGTAGAATAAACACTAGATGCAATAAAAGACATTTTATTTTAAATACAATGAAAGATGAATATTAGCATCACAGTATTATATATCAAACTTATTATAAACTTAAACATGAACAAATTTCAATTTAATAATATTATTTTACAGATCTCTATCCATGTCAATATTGCAAAGTGGCATTTTCAAATGTTTCCTTTTTGAAGGCACATTTGAAATTCAAACATGGAGGAGAAGAAATTGCCAATTGGACTTTAGCTCTCACTTCTAAGAATAGTGAACATTCTTTCCAACCATCTAGTTTTCATCAACATCTTACAATTTGTATGAAAAAAAAGGCTTACAAGTGTGACAGATGTAATAAATGTTTTACAAAGCTTAGCCAATTGAAAAAACACCTTAGAAATAGTATAGAAAAAAAGCCTCATGATTGTGACACAAAAATTGGTCAATTAAAAAAACTTAAAATTCATACTGTTGAAAAGCCTTACAAGTGTGACATATGTGGTAAATATTTTACAAAGCTATACCAAATAAAGAAACACCTGAAAACTCATACAGGATTAAAGCCTTATACCTGTGACACATGTGGCAAACGTTTTTTGCAGTTCGCAGGTTTACAGAGACACTTTAACATTCATACAGGAGAAAAGCCTTACAAATGTGACTTATGTGGTCAGTGCTTCACACAATTCTCAAGTTTAAAAAGTCACCATAGATATCATACTGGAGAAAAACCTTACAAGTGTGACACATGTGGTAAATGTTTCACAGAATCTAATGGTTTACTGAGACACCACAGAATTCATACAGGAGAAAAGCCTTCCAAGTGTGACAAATGTGGTAAATATTTTACAGAATCATCAAACTTAACAAAACATTTAAGAATTCATACTGGAATAAAACCTTACAAGTGTGATACGTGTGGTAAATGTTTCACAGCTTTTTGGGATTTAAAGAGACACCTTAAAACTCATACAGGAGAAAAACTGTACAAGTGTGACAAATGTGGCAAACGTTTTTTGTGGCTTTGTTGCTTAAAACAACACCTTAGAAGTGAAAATGGAGAAAAGCCTTATAAATGTGACCAATGTAATAAGTGTTTCACATCAAGTCATTCATTAAAGAGCCACCTTAGAATTCATACAGCAGAACTTCCACACAGATGTGATAAATGTGGTAAATGTTTTGCAACCAAACAGATTTCACAGAACCACCATAGAATACGGACTAAACTTTATAAGTGTGACAAATGTGGTAAACATTTCACACAACTTAAAACTTTAGAGGACCACTGTAGAATCCATACCGGTGAAAAGCCTTACATGTGTGAAAAATGTGGTGCATGTTTTGCACTTTTGAACTATTTAACAAATCACTGTAAAAATCATATAGGAGAAAAGCCTTACATATGTGACAAATGTGGTAAATGTTTTGCATTCTTGTCCCGATTACAGGCACACAATAGAATACATACAGGAGAAACGCCTTACATATGTGTCAAATGTGGTAAATGTTTTAGCTGGATTGCAAATTTGTTGAAACACCATAGAATTCACATGACAGAAAAGCCTTACAAGTGTGTCACTTGTGGCAAATGTTTCACACACCCCTCAGATTTAAAGAGCCACCATAGAATTCATTCAGGAGAAAGTCTTTACAAATGTGCCAATTGTGGTAAATGTTCCAATAATTTAGCAGGTTTACAAAAACACCTTAAAACACATACAGGAAAAAAAAAATACTTGTGCATCATATGTGGTAAATGTTTCTCAAACACTTACACTTTACAGAACCACCAAAACATTCATAAAAGAGAAAAGCCTTACAGTTGTGACAAATGCGGTACTCGCTTTGCACTACAGAGTACTTTACAGAAACACCTTAAAACTCACACATGAGAAAAGACTTACAAATTGACAAAACACAGAATTCATACAGGAAAGAAGCAGTGTGATATGTGAGGTAAAAGTTTTTCTGCTCATTCACATTTCTCCAACCAGCAAAAAGAGCATTAACAAAAATGATTCTTGCATATTTTTTTTAGATAAGTATCACCTGAAGTGTCCTTTGATGTGCCCTGTATAGTGGATGACCTTTTTTTGTGAAATATTGTTCAAGTTAAAGATTAATTATTGTTTTCTGTTTGTTAGCTTTTTTTTTTTTAATTTCAAGGTTTTTCTTTGTTATTTTTTTGTTTAGTTTTGTTCAAGTTCAATTGAGAGAGTGTGTAGGTGCTTAGTACATTCTAGTAAATTAGTTTTAAACTAATATGTACTTAGTTAAAGTCAGCAAGGTAGAGCAATATTCAATTAAAATGGTAAATACAGGGATAGTTGTAGACCTAGCTATTTGAGATAAATCCATGGTAAAATAAATGTGTGCCCAATTATACTTCTTACCATTATTACTATTTCATAACAATATTGTTTTTCTAAGTGCTTATAAAAATATAAAGCAAAATATAGCGGTATTGTAAACATTTTAAAAAATGTGGCCTACCACACTCGAGGTTTTAAACAAACGTATCTAGGTGTAGCTAAATGTATATTTAGCCTGTCTATAGCAAAAAAAAATATATATGAAGTATTAAGGAAGTAATTAGATGAGCGGAATATTACATATATACACTATTAGTTTTATTGTCTCTAATAAAAATCTTTGCATACACTTTGTATTTTGTTTGTTATTAATAAATAAATCTAATTAAATGTAACTAGTTTTAAGAATGATTGTAAATTTTTAAATCTGAAAACTAAACTCATTTTAATTACAGCACATTAATGTTCAAGGCTAGTAAATCCTTACAATGTTGCATTATATAATTAAAAGTATAAGCAAAATTCTACACCCTGCTTGTTCAAGACTAGTGTCCCCTTGTAAAGAAAGTAAAATAAAGTTCCCCTGGCAATCCACAGGGCAGCTGAAGTATAGTTCACATGTTTCAATGACCTCAGCATATGAAGGGATAATGTGGTCAGCGGCTCTCTGTTGTCGTGTCCGTCCCGTGTCCCCCCCCCCCCCCCCCACTTAGAGATGTGCTACAACTCTAACCTTGGACCTAAGCTCAAGACTTTCAGCTTAGCAGACACTCTACCATTTTACTATGCCATAGAACGGCAAATTATTGATCATTGTTTAATAAAAAAAAAACTAATAGTATGTAGACAACCATTGACTTAACTTAATGAATGCTATAGAAATAAACATCTGTTGCAGTTTTCACCGGGATTTTTTTTTTTTGCATATAGATTATTAAAAATATAAGTTATTAAACTTAAGAGAGGAATGAAATACATTAAAGATAATAGTGATATGGTGATGATACTGGTAGTAATGATTAAAAAAACTGCTGATAACTCTTGTAAAATCTGGAAAAAAAGACAATAGTAACTAGTAAACAAGACAATCTTCAATGTCATGACAACGCAAGGAAACATGACAACCATACCCAGTAAGACAACCAATGTGACAACTTTAGCCTAAATGACAACACTAACCAGTATGCATCTCTACAGAGGCGTAGCGACCCCTCCCGGCGCCCGGGGCGATCTTTCTCAGTTTGGCGCCCCCCTCCCCAAATATATATATATATATATGTATGTATATATGCGTGTGTGTTTGTGTGTGCGACAGTCTGGGAAAAAATTAACAATTACGCTGATTGTCGTTCCCTAAAACTTCACTATACGCCAATCAAATGCCCCTTAAGATGCCGAAACGAATAAAGAGTTGAAAAACAAAAGAGCTTAGAACAGTGGGCTCCATCGAACCCGAGAGGTTTGGTAATTCAGTCTCAGGGCTTCCGTGGAGGTCAAGACACATCCGACTCATATAATCCACGATCGGATTTTGTCATTGTGGAGGATACAACTATTAAGGAGGGTTCGGTGATTTCGCATATGAAACTGGTTGGGTTCAGTACTCCAAAAATTTAAGAACCACTGCTTTAGATTGTATTTTGTAGAAGGTGCAAGACTTATTTGGTCTCCTTTTGGTCGTGTCTTTAGAACAATTTCGATAATAGTAGGCAAATATTGCAATTTTGAATTATCAGTTAGGTTGAACAAAGTAATAATCAGTGCAATATACTAATTTTCTTCTCTCTTAAAATTTTGGTAAAGAGTGTTGCTTCCCATCCACCCGCTCCGTCAGTCTGCTATTTTACTGATCGGATAGCGATACAAGAATCCGTTATATTTATTTCTCTTTAATGCAGTGATCCCGGCAAGATGTAATGCAATCAAGTAAAGTAACTGATCTATCACGATCAAGTTGAGAGAATCGTAAGAATCGTACAAAGCAAAACTGGGTAGTGAAATCGTACATTAAGTGTTATTACAATTGATTTCTTTTCTAAGTGTTAAAATAGTTATCTAGTAACCGATCCAGTACAAATCCTGCGATTTTTGTTAGTGAAAAAGCGCCCCACCATCTTGGACAAAAATGGTAGAGCGGATTTTAAACGCCACAAACTTTTTTATGTTATATAATAGATTGACGATAGAAGCATGTGGTTGTATATAAAACGTTTATTGGGTCTAACTACATGATGGTACCAGCAAGAGAGACGGAAATGACGAGAGACAACTATTTATATATATGTAAGGGACATCACTCAAGATAACAATATAAATATAATACTAATACAGAAGAGTGAGTTCCCTTGACCTCACAATTATCTCAATATGTTACATCCCTTTACCCTTAGTAAACACAACACATCTCTCAATAGGACAATTGACAGTATCTTAAAATCACCAATATATTGCAACATGAACATTATGGTAGATTACACCCTTACAAACAATGCACAATATGCTACAACATAATCCAGATACAAAACAATGATGTCAAAGTCCTTTTGACCTTTAAAATCATAGGTCTAACTTATTTGGGACTTTGATTGTCCTGCTTGACCTTCTCAGTGGCTTTTGATTTGGTGACTCAAGATTCTGACCATCTGGATTCTCTATCTCAGGAGGTCTAGGATTTAAATCATTAACTCCAGAATTTACATTTTCTGACTCCAGACAACTTGGTTCACTCATATCAACAGAACTTGGTTGTGGAACAAACTGAGTTGGTGTGAACTGTTCAGATTTGGTGGGATTGACAGATTCACACTTATTATCTGCACAAGTTATTTTTAACTGGTCTGCATGTCTACGGACAATAAGTCCATCATTTGTTTTTACTTTATAAGACACAGGTCCTGTACATTGAACAATTTGACCTGGTATCCATTTTTCCTTTCTCCCATAATTTCTTAGATACACATTATCATTAACTGCAAATTCTCTTTCAATGGATGATTTGTCATGATTTACTTTTTGTGTATGTTGATGTTGGGAAACAGACCTTTGAACAGTTGGATGTAGTAGGTCAAGATGAGTTTTAATTTTCCTACCACATAAGAATTCACATGGTGCAACACCTGTTGTTATATGAGGAGTTGTGCGGTATTTGGTTAAGAACCTGTTTACTCTTTCCCTAAGAGAAAACTTGTTACCGGTATTCATTTTTACCATAGCGGTTTTGAATATGCCTACCGCTCTTTCAGCCAAACCATTCCCAGCAGGATGATAGGGGGATGTGGTTATATGCTCAATACCATTTGCCACACAAAAGAGTTTAAACTCATGAGCTGTGAAACTAGGCCCATTATCTGAAACAATTTGATCTGGTAATCCATGAGTTGAAAATATTTCCTTCAGTTCTATAATGGTATCATTTGCAGTGATTGTGTTCATGATTTTAACTTCTAACCATTTAGAATGTGAATCAATAACAATTAAGAACATTTTGTTCATGAAAGGTCCTGCGAAATCTATATGTATACGTTTCCATGGTTCGATTGGCCAGTCCCAGTTTTGCAAAGGTGCTGTAGCTGGTTGATTTGAATGTTGTGCACAGCTTGAACAAAGTTTTACATATTTTTCAATATCAGCATCCATATGTGGCCACCAGAACCATGATCTTGCTAGACTCTTCATTTTGGAAGAACCAAGATGAGTATCATGTAAAGTTCTTAAAACTTCTTTTTGTAACATTTTGGGGATAATTACTCTTGACCCCCATAGTATACATCCATCTTCTAGACTTAACTCTGTTTTTCTTATTTTATATGGCTTTAAGTCCTCATTCACTGACTCTTCAGGCCAACCATTTTTACAGTACTCATATACTTTTATTAAGCACTCATCTTTTTGTGTTTCTCTTTTAATATCATTCACATTTATATTGGAGTTATCCATGATAGTGAAGAGAACAAATACATCTTCTGGTACATAGCTCAGGCCTTGGTTTTTTAAAGGTAATCTACTAAGACTATCTGCACTATTCTCAGATCCAGGTTTGTATTTCAATTCATAATTGTATGCAGTTAGTGTGATAGCCCATCTTTGAATTCTTGGTGAGGCATGCTCAGGTAGGGTTTTGTTTTCTCCAAATAAACCTAGCAATGGTTTATGATCTGTAAAGATGGTGAACTTCCTACCAAACAGAAACTTATGAAATTTCTTAACACCAAAAATGATGCCTAAGCCTTCCCTATCTAACTGAGAATAATTTTTCTCAGCCTGGTTCAAAGATCTACTGGCAAAAGCAATGGGTCTGTCACCCTTCTCATCCATGTGGGACAAGACTGCTCCTACACCATCTGGTGAAGCATCACATGTTAATATAAGTCTTTTCCCTGGGTCATAGTGAGTTAGTAAGGTGTCAGCAGACAAAGCCTCTTTTGCTGTATTAAAAGCAGCTTTTTGTTGTTTACCCCAGTGCCAAGTTGCATTTTTCTGTAGCAGCTTGTACAGTGGTGATAGTTTACCAGACAGATTCCCTATGAACTTTGCATAGTAATTTATCAAGCCCAAAAAAGCTCTTAGTTGTTGGGTATTTTCAGGTTTGGGTGCTTCTTTAATGGCTTTTGTTTTCTCAGGTTGAGGTCTGATGCCTTGCTTGCTTAATATATAACCAAGAAAACTAATTTCTGTCAGCATGAATTGACATTTATCTTTGTTTATCTTTAAACCTTTTTCACCAACAATTTTCAATACTTTATCAAGTGTTTTAAGATGTTCAGTGT